AATCTGGAGTGAGACAAAGTAATTAGAGTGAGACAATGTTTTCACTGATGAGCGAATTGGCCACTTTGCTTTCTCAAATCAGTGAGAGAACATGTGCATTGTTAGGTAACTGTAGGAAAAATAATTTACAGTACTAATATAATGCCAATGGTGTCTGGCCTAACCCGGTATCTAGGTAGTGGAAATCAATGCGTTGATTTAGCTCCGTGGTAATTTTATACCTTTTTACAGGCCAATCGTACCTACATCTAACTAATCACTACAGTGAATATTTTTTAGTTATTATAAAAATGTAGGCTGTGATGACGTTTTAAAACTTGGATAACATCTGATCAATTTGATTAAATCAACATTGATTAATTTCACGTAACCTAACATCACCTAACCGAATTCCGTAGGATTCAATCCAATAAAATAAAGAGGTCTATTGATTCTCCGTTAATCGGTCTTTTTACCTTTGATTTGCCATAAAGAAATATATACATCCACAATTGTAGAAGTTATCGCAAACTAAGTCATGTTAAGCATCCAATAATGTCCAATTTTAATTACGATTGGTTTATATGGATGGGAGGTTGACTTAAGTCAATCGAGCTCTACAGTTTATTAAACAACAACTAATCCATGTTACAAATCGGTTTATGTGCCCTGTTTACATGTCCCAATTTCGTGGAAAAATAAATACGATTTGTTGCATGTAAGCCACTACGATGGGTTAATCCAAGTAGGATCGCAATAATTAATAGTCACGGTTGTAAAAAATATCTTTATTGAGGAGATTGATTAAGAAACGATTCTGATTAATCAGTTATCTGGGTCACCACGTCAGAATCAGACCAATCTTCGCTTTGATTTACAACCAGCCGTTGGGTTAATCAATTAACAAAATGGTGAACTGAAATTGAGTGGCAAATAAAGGTCAGTAGTAAAATCATCTGACTCGAACCAAATATATCAATAAAATAAAAGAGGATTAGTATACCAAATTTAAATCTTTATAGACAACAAGACAACTCACTGTAATGTGGTTTTACATGTTTGAAAGATAAAATATTAGACCTGCAAATTACTGTGATTTAGTCCGACTTCCAAAGACATGGTAGTGTTACTAGTGTTGATGGCTCAATTACAGTACAGCAATGAATATAAATAAGTTAGTATGTATATTTAAATACTGTACGTAATATAGTTATAATATGTACGTTTTATGTTAGTCAATAGCCATTGTACTGAACCGGATCGAATTTAGCTTCCCATGTATAACGCGCCAATAAATAATTCACCACAGAATACCTAGGCCTATACAGTAGTTAACTAAATTAACAATTCACATATAATATTGCCTCCCACTCAACGTCATTCTTTACTTCCATTACAACGGCATTACACTTTTCAATTTACTTCCTCCCCCCTTCAGCTGGAGTCGGATTTGGTCCGCTTCAAAAGGCAAGTAAAAAATTACTCTTGACCAAGAGTTGCTACGTGTCCGTGAATGTGCCGCTGATCTTGTCATTCAATAATCTAGTTTGATTGTAGCACAATTATTTTATTTTAATTTTAGACGCAAAGATATATTTTGTTTGACATGACTAATGCAAATCTGTATTTTTTTACATTGGTTGATAGCATAAATGACCGCAACCCTTTAAAATTACGCAATGGAAAGTAGTTAAGGCTGAAAAATGAACATGTTGGACCAAACCATCCCTATTTCCACATTAATCCACAGTATATGCAATGCTGTAGCTTGTAACGGTAGCAGGAAACGTGAAGAATGGGCGTCATTGGGAACAAATTGTGGCGCAAGAGGAAGCTCATGCGACAAGTGCCGTTTGATTGGGCGAACGCAACAGTTGTGATGTGAGCGACAATGCGACAGGTTGGGCGGTTGGGGTGGCTGAGCGACAGACTGTCTATCTGTCGCGCTATTACAACCACAAAGATACATCTAGGAGACTTCTGGTCGTCCCACTGTAAATTATGAAGTCTGCTTGTACTGATGTCGACAAAAAAATTGAGTTTGATGTTGCAAATTGTTTGATAGTTTCATTTAGTAAAAACATGTACTGTTCTAACAACTCAATAACAAAACGGACAGATATAACCACAGACAATAGACCATTAATGGTATTTCTTTTGTCTATGATATAACCTAAAAACTGTCTACTACTGTTCAATAAAAAAGATAAAATCCATAATACTGTAGAGGATCGGTTCTCATCTAGGCTAAACTTAGTGTTTCTCTTGTTTTAAGGAAATCCTTGGCGAACGCTTTGCCATAGATAAAACAACTCTTACGAGGAGGTCAACTAAGTTTCTCTACTCCGAGACTTTTTAAACAACTTTACAGCTATTTCGACCAAACATATAGTTTTTTATACTATTGAAGGGACTTTGACCGGACACCAAGATGTTACTATGCTTTAGATATTGAAAATATCTAAATGAAGCTGCAGTTTGCAACCTATACCAAATCAGTAATTTACAACGTTGAGCAAGCAAAGGACGCAAAGGAGTCAATGAGTTCCGAACCCAATGGTATTTAGCTTATTTTACAACCGTACGAAATAATTTGCTGTCTCATACTTGATCTTTTTAACATATATTTTCCATCTGGTCAATTTTGTGTTTTCGCAAAGAATTAGATTGATACTGTTCAAACTTAATTGTGTAAAATAGCGACAGTCGTGGAAATAATTAACATCCAACAAAAGTCTCCATTTGGTGCACACCTTTAACTATTTGATTAGTCGGTATTCAATTGAGCAGAAACTCAACGTTTGTAAGAAAAAGCTAATACAGTACGCCGGTTGTCGCCTGATTGTGGAGGCAAAGATTTTGGCGCCGCCGTCTCGCGGTCTCCAATCGTAAACCTGGGTGTGCGAACTTCTCAAAACCCACGTAGAAACAGGAGATGTCAAACAGTCGGGGGCCTCCTACGAGTTGAAAAACTGCCAACCAGGAGACTTGAAATATCGTGCAGAATGGCTTAATAATGACTCACCACGGTGAAATAACCACATGAATACCGCCAAAACTTTAGATCCGCGCCGCTATGATAAAGTTATCATAACTGTCTCACTCTTAGTATCTTTATAGATAAACATAGATAACTACTGTAACTATTTGTGGCTGATGATAAACTATTGAAAAACAGTTTCAAAATGTTTATTATATACGTAGCCTATGCCTACCTAAGAGTGGATTTAATAAAAGCCAATGCACTAATACATCAATACCAAACCAGTGACTGCATAAAATCCTATAAATGTCGGCTTTGGTCGCTAACAAAACTACAAGATCGCGCCACTCATCCTACACTCATCCCCATTCATACTTGGCTTAAAATACCTACTTTGTACGGTCGCCATTTAATAAGAAAGTAACTATAATACCCCCGCCGCAGCAAACCTGCCGTCTAAGCGAATTTCCATTTGGCTGAATTGATTTTCAATCGAGCTATTTAAATAACATTAGGTTTAACAAGTACCTAGGTTTGCTGCTACAGGGAAACTGATAAAGTTTGTGTTTTAAGTAAAATAATTATTGCTTAGTAGAAAATGAATATATTTGCCAAGTTTGAACAAAAGATATCCATAAACAAGCAAACTACAACATTTTACAATATTCTCCATAAGAATAACATGGGAATTTTAAATTTACAATTTTTTAGTTTTCTCCGTAACCAATAACCGTACAAAAACACTTTGACATACTGAATTGTTTGTTTTTTTAAGCTCTTTAAGAAGGTTTAGAGAAAAATTGGGAAATTTTGTGTTTTGAGGGTCAAAAGTGAGAAAAACCAATTTTTACCTCATAAAACCCCCCATAAAACCCTGTTCCCATGGTCCGATCATGCTGGATCGCGAACTCATTCAAGTTTATCCCGCCTTACACCTTCAAGCCAAATTTCATCAAAATCGGATAAAAATTACTCAAGTTATCGTGTTCACGGACACATATATATATAAATCTATATATATATATATATATATCTATATATATATATATATACATATATAAAAATTTGAACGAATGGTGTTTTTGGCCTCTGGGGACATCAAAATGAAAAAGTAAATCGGTCCCGGGCCTAAGTCTTACCATGAGACCTACGGTAATAGCTACTTCCCTCTGGGGAAATTCGCTAAAAAAGTAACTATTAAAGTACTATAAAATTTCTACGTTAATCGCAACCTTAAATTCGATTGAGAATAGCTTGAGATTGAACTTGTTCAACAGTAACCAAACCATATATCAAAGAAGTCATATATTATTATGTCTATAACACTTAACCCCGACCTAAATATACTTCATCATTGTTCCCAAGGTACTCAAGACTGAAACCATTTATAACAGTCATTAAAACGTCATTGCTATTGTTTTGATTACAAACAAAACATGGGGAATAGTTTAAAAGCCGGATTACCAAACCACTCGCTCTGATTACCTGTTAGGAAATCAATTATAAGGTAAGCAATTTATAAAAGTTTTGTCACAGTATATTTAATACCAACATTGATATCTCAACAACCAAGACAAATCTACATTGTACAACTTATATAATTAACCAACTAATCGTAGAACATAATTTTTGTCACGGATGAAACGAAACATCACTGGTGACAGAATCTAGGCCTAAACCGCTCGAGTTTAGGTTATGTTATTGTTGAAATTGTATTCCTCCACTATTGTTGCTGCATATTGAACATGAACGATAATGATAATGAATCCAAAACCGTGGTTAGGCTATACATACGTGGTTAGGACTTAAATTTTGAGACAGTAGGCTTTACCAGCTTATAAAACACTAACATAGTAACACGGCCAACTCAAACGAAGAATATACAGTTACATATGACTGTTTACTTCAAACAATAACAAGTACTTAAACGATTCAATAATACACATGTTAACTAAAAAAGCTAGGCCTATGTCTTGCAAAACAAACTACCTTCGAACAAACCACAAAACCAACTAGATTAACAGATATTTCTACTCACCGATCTTCCTCTGTGAGATAATCCAAGCCGAAATTTAGTATATTTCTTCGTAAACACACGCCAAACTACGTCTACGTACGCCATTGCACATTATCACAGGACACTATCACTGTCAATGACTTCACTACGAACGCGCGCGCTAGACTGACAGATCGAGAAGGCGGTGGCGGTAGAGAGAGACAGCGCTATCTGTATCGCATGAGTGCGACAGAGAAGGAAAATGCGCGACAGAGACTGTTGACTCCTATTGTTGACAGTCAGTCGTGTTCTCTCTTTCTTCTGATCGTTCGTAACTATTTCGCTACGATAGATGTTTTGTTGGTGTTTGCGTCTTCATAAATAAATTAAATCGACAAGGGTAAATTGAAAATTGAATCATTCACGTAATTGTTGATTGAGCAAAATTAGATGAGTTTTAAAAATAAAATGAATAATTTATAAATAAAAAATATGTTTAAAACAAAACGTTTTTAAATGCACTAAAAAGTAGAAAATAATTTATAAATATGTGGAGAGTATAAATACTTGTAAGATTTAAAACGAAAAACGTGGGGTGCATGCAATAGATGATTTACAATTACCTTCACCTATTGAACTAATGTATTATTATCAATTGCATGCACCCCACGTTTTTCGTTTTAAATCTTACAAGTATTTATACTCTCCACAAATTTATAAATTATTTTCTACTTTTTAGTGCATTTAAAAACGTTTTGTTTTAAAAAAAGTTTTTTATTTATAAATTATTACATAATAGATCTCTAATTTCAATGTTAACAAAGCCAGACTAGATTTCAACTGTTAAAAAAAAACAAGACCTTCCAATTATGCCCGTACCAAAGTCGGGGGTGAGTTTGGGCGAGTAATACCCAAAGTAAAAAATGTGTGTGGATGTTAAACCTATTTCATGCATCTATATAAGATTAGGACAGAGGCATGTGGGAAATCTAAGGTTTATTTGAGTTTCTTTTCATATAATTATGTATTAGATTGAATGTATGGCCTACCTACTAACTATACATATATCAATATATTTAATTTATTGTTTACTTTATAGAATACTAAATAAATAACAAATAACATTATTAACAAACACCTTTATATCTGCAATCAGATTGATTATCTTTATTTTGAAATGTTTATTTGTATAAATAAAGAATCTCTTGGGAGCAGAACCTGTACCTCTTAACCTCTGCTTTTTGAACTGTCAAATTTAAGTATTTACAGCTGACTTTAATTAATTGATATATTTACATTCTTTCAAAATGTAAACATGAAAAATTTGGAAGCCAGTGGGGTGAAGCCCAAGGGAAATATGAACATTAAATGCTATAATACTGAATTGTCATCCACTTGTGAGCTATTTTTCAAATTTCAAGTCTCTAGCTCATCGGGAACTTAGTATAAAATTGATTACAAAATTTGTACCGGACAAGAAAGCGAGCTAATGAAAAACGTTTTTTTTTTTACAAAAAGAATATCATCTATATAAATAAAATTAGAGTTTTGTCTGTACATTGCTCAGAATTGTATACGTTTAGGTTATTTTTACGTTTTATACATTAAAGAAGCAGAAACGAGTCTTATCTCAATTTCTGTCTGTCTGTCTGTCTGTCTGTCTGTCTGTCTGTCCCTTTGTCTGTAACACTCAAGATGGCATTTTACGCAATCTTCTCCGTGAAAACCAGAGTACATATCAAGATCCAAGTCATTTTAATGTATTCACTGGATTGGCGAGAGTGTCTTTAGTGATTTAAATATAGCCTCACTACTTTGTAAATAAAATTACGGACGTTCAAAAATGCAGTTTTGTGCGATTTTTGTCAAATTTCCGTTCAATTTTTATCACATAATCGTCTATGAAATAACGAACAGCTGTTCGGATCAAGATTATTTTTTCTAGCTGTCAATGACATGTTTACAAATGTTGTTCACAAATACCGCAACTATTTCGAATCACGTTTTGAAAGCAAATCCCAACCAAGTGAGATTAAAAACGTTTTTCTTACATAACGGATTTAATTAATCGCAAGTGCAATAATATAGTCTAATAGTGTAACCGTAAATGAAATTAAATAACTAGACATCGTCCAAATCGGAACCAGAAATTCTTTGAGTATAAAATGTTTCTTGAGTTTTGACAACCAGAAAGAAGAAGACCTTGAATCAGTGTTGTATAGGGCTGTGACACTGAAATGATCGTCGCCAATAGCTTACAAAAAAGGTTTCCACTCATTGACGGCGCTTCAATGGCGGTTGTGTAAAGTTTAAAGTAAAAAATCACAACTGCAGTGGGTGATTGTAACTGAGGTTTAACAGAGGAAGTGCTAAACTCGCTTTTCCAATGTGTCACTTTCTGTTTCTACTCACCGTGTGATGCAATCGCTGGACCATACAGCCAATAGGCCCATAGCTCATATCTTGGGTACGTAAGCCTACATATTTATTCATAACAACCTTTTTGACAACGATCCTTAATACCGGTACTTTTCCATAGAATACATGGCCTACCTACTTAAAAAATAAAATTACAAATGACCAAAACCCCAACATTGTGTGATTTTCGTCACATTTCCTTCTAATGTTAATAGATATACTAATCATTGTTTAGAGAATGCGTAATCTATTAAATAACAAAAAGTTGTTTGGGTAAGGTTGCTTTTTTTCAAACTGACACCGATAAGTTTACGCTATAACTTTTTACGAGAAAATCCAAAAGCAAGAGATCAATAACCTCGGGACTAGATATTAATGTATTTAATTGGTCCAATTTACTATAGTTCTTAGGTAGGTTCTTACGTAGGTACTGGTTCTTTCCCTTAGAACCGGTAGTTTACAAATTTGATATCGTTGGTGTTGCACCTTATTTATTAGAGCCGTCCGTATTCAATTTAAGTGATGTCTTAACTCTGTATAGTTTTGCTTTTTCTGTCTGGATTCCAAATCTTAGCTTACCCGGTATGCTAAGAAAATTATAACCTATTTGAGTAAAACATTTGTTGGGCAAACCATCATGAATTGTTTACGCCTTTATATTGTTTATGTATCAATAGTTCGTGGCCTTTGTTGGATTGTTGTATTGTGTTGTTTTGTTGTATGTTGGTAACGCATTAATGTCCTTATTTCTCAGTGTTTCACGGAATGGACAAGAGCACCTATGATACTGAAAATGTCAACCGGAATAAAGTGTTAAATGGTGAGGTTGAGGTAGTACTTTAAATACGTTTAAGTTAACCGATGTGGAAAGTAACTTTCAATTATAGGCCTACTTTAGGGCTACGCTTCATGGATCTATAAAACATTTTTTAGTTTAATCATTGGACATATGGACCAACACGATCCGGGTGACATTTAATTGCGAAGCATTTATTTTGGCTTACTGTCAGATACTGTATTTGCGAAGGTTTATATATAATAGTTTTGCCAGCATATCTGCAAATGTGCAAACTAATTGCTGTTCTTAATCTTAATATAAGAAGATTTCAACTGACTACTATAAGATCCCCGTGCGTAGAACGGGCACACAGCTAGTATCATACTACAAAATAAATAAGCAATTTGGGTTGTTTGGGCCCCATACACTAAATTCACAAACAAAAAAATACGGTAATAGTGATTTAAAATGGCTTCGCTGCACAACAACTTGTTGACAATATTAATATTGATATAATTGAAAAACTGCAACCCTTTAACTAACATAGTGTAATTTTTTTGAGGGCAGATAGTAGGTTGGTTCTCGTCGGAAAGCTGTGTAGTCGCGGCGGCATACATACATACTCTCTCCGCTCAGAAGCACATGTTTTCTGTAGAAGGGAGGACCGAACCCGAAGCCGCTATGTGAGTAGAGTAGTGGAGTAAAGTATGTAGTTAGTAGGTAGCGTATGACCGGTGCTTGGGGCTACACTCGGTGTACTGACTACCCTTGCATTTGGTTGCTCGCGGCGCCATTTGTTCTCCCATTTTTTTGTTATAAATTTTGACAAACGACTGTGTTAATTTTTTCATCATATTTGAACACTTTTTTTAAATACGGTGTTATTGATACAAGTTTTCTTACATTCGTCTACACCTCTATGCGTTCTTTTGAGGTACCAAACTGTTAAAATATTGTGTATTAATTATTTAGAGATTACTAATTTTCAGCATACGGACCATTCTACATTTTATATACGGTACCTTCTATCCTGGAGGGTTTAAAAGAAGACGACTCGTTTTAACATAGGGTAATATTTAGTTTTAGTAGAGAGATCGTACACTTTTGCTTATCTCGCAAACATTTCATATCTAGATACAATGTCTATTTCAATATCAAAAAATCGTTGGTTCAAAAACTTAGAACAAAAACGAATCCACTGGAGTTGAGGAAATTAGCACAGACTATAGAATATGTACAGACATTAGCTGTACTCGATATATTTCGCAATTTTAAAGTTGATGGGCGATTTGCCGAAGCTAATAGTTAGCATTAATTTATAAGCCTTCAAGGCTTAGTAAAATGCTAACTATTACCTTGACTATTATTTTGACTATATGAGTTTAAAATTTGACAAACCTTTAAATTTATGTAAGAAATTGTTAAAATTTTAATTAAAACTGGCTAAGGTTGTCTTAAATACAATTCCATCATTAGTTAATGATTGTATCCATATCAGAATTGCAAAAAGTATAATATGTGATAAATCTTTTGGTCGTTGCTACTTGAATAAATTCCAAATTTGAACAACAAACAGAATTGTACGGTATTTATATTTATTCTTGATTATTAATTATTTTTCGTATCAACAAACTGTTATTGTGTAAATCCAAAAAAAGTAAAAAAATAAATTTGAAATTCCTATAATTATCGTAAAATCGTGATTGGTCTAAATACAAAGCATACATGCTAGCGGCAGAAAGCGAGGTTAACAAGGCAACTGTTATGTCCTTGAGTGTTAGATACTGGAAGTACAAGCCTGCTACTGCTATACTGTATGTCTACTGTTAGTTTGTATGCAATTTGAGCATGCGCCATAGAGTATTTTACGGTATTCATGTAAATTGTTGTGCTTGTAAAACAGGAGTAAACTTGTTGATAAAAATTTGACATATTCCAAGTCTAGAATCTATTTAAAAATATATTCCGATTCATTGACCAATGTAGCAATAGGCTTGTCTATTTGAATTTATTTTATTTTCAACGTCAATCGAAGGATACATATGCGTAGCCTATTAAATGTGCTGATGTGATTATTATTGATTATTATTAATGGCAACCAAGGGACCAGCCGTTTATAGTGGAATCCGAACCACATTTCTCCTTGTAATTAACGAATTGGTCTAATTATCAGGATAGTACTGCGGATAGTCGCAATCCACACCAGGGAGCATCGCATCCACAGTGCATGCCAATAAATATCTAGGCCTACTTTTCGTGACCTCCTAGTAGTTGGATTACAGTATTATGATTACATGTTGCCAGGTCAATCATGGGGGAAAAGTAGCTTTAATAGACTTTGATCATTTGGCTTATATTAACGGTCCTGTAATCAAGTCCTAACTCATAACAAAGCTATTACGTTACCCACTTTACACACCCCTTTCTTCTTGAAATACACACCATAGCCTGTCTTTGCATGGACCTAATCCAACTACATTTTAACTTATAAAACCACCAATAGCCTTATCAACGACCTTGACCTACCTGATAACTCTTCCTGGAGACGCCGACCCTCCTGCATAACTTGACCAGGGTGGACTGGACCCCGGTGGAGGAACACGCGCAACACAGCATCTCACGACACGGGGTACACGGCTCAACACGGACACGGCGACACAGCTAAGCACGACACGGACACGGTGCACACTGCGAGGTGACCCAGTACTGTGGTAGGCCGCTTGCCAACAAGGGTGCACGTGAGTATATGGCCCTCACCTTTGCCAAACACCGGGTGTCCTGGATGGAAACAGGGCGACGCGACAAGTGAGTATAGAAACTAGTGGAAATAGTGATTGAATTCGAGCACAATATCGTGATCTGTCGGTATTAGTGTAGTTGTTGTCATGAATGTTTATGCTTCAACAGGTGTGACGCAACATCATAAGATCTATACATAGAGTAAATACCCTCGCCGCAGCAAACCTGCAGACTAAGCGAATTTCCATTTGCCTGATTGGATTTACACTAAAATGTCTCCTTAAAAATATCACATTTATTCCCTATTTAAATAGAATCAGTTTAACACATACTTAGGTTTGCTGCAACAGGGAAGGTAAAAGTGTTTTTTATGTAAAATGTTAATAGTTAGTAAGAAATAAAAACATTTTCTAAATTTGGGCAAAAAATGTTAATAAACAAGCAAACTACAACAGTTTACTTATTCTCCATAAGAATAACATGGGAATTTTAAATTTACAATTTTTTGAAATTTTCTCCGTAACCATTAGGTGCATTATAACGCTTTATATACTAAATTATTTGTTTTTTTAAGCTCTACAAAATAGTTTGGAAAGAAATTGCAAAATTTTATGTTTTTTGAGTCAAAAGTGGGAAAAACCCATTTTTACCCCATAAAACCCCCATAAACCCCCGTTCCCATGGTCCGATCATGCTGGTTCGCGAACTCGTTCGAATAATCATAGGTTTACACGTTTGTACCAAATTTCATCAAAATCGGATCGTTTTTGCTCGAGTTATCGCGCTAACGGACACATATATATATATGAATTTGAACGGATGGTGTTTTTGGCCTCTAGGGACCTCAAAACGAAAAAAAATCGGTCCCGGGTCCAGGTCTTACCATGAGTACTACGGTAATAGCTTATTCCCTATATGGGAAATTCGCTAAAAGTGGTACTACACTATAATAAGCATACCATTTACAAAACTATGACCTGAAATTACAAAGTTAACCGAAAGATGCCTTGATTTTTTATGGACGTTTCTTATGTCCTTCACTTGTGTGTGTACTAGCATAGATTAAACATACTCCCTTAGAGTGTATGTTTAATCCAGTTTAATCTATGGTACTAGCTACTGCTCTCGGGAGACGGACAACGAACCAGATCTTTGTTTGGGTTAATCCCCTGATTTATGGCCTGTGGGTGGTGGTCACCGGAGGAGGGGTGGGGAATCGAGAATTCTGAATCCCGCCGGAGGCGTTGACTTTTTGTCAAAGATTTCGCTTAGAATGCGATTACTTCATAACTGTACATCTTTTGTTTGAATTTATAATTTTATGATCAGAACTATTTTTCGATTAAGAAACCTTTATTCGGTTTTTTCATTATCAGCAAGTTTGGTTGGTTTGGTTAGGTTATGATAGTTAAATTTTATAATGAAAAAATTGAATTTTAGGCATTTGTAATTTTATTTTATGAACAGAACTTTTTTTTAAATTAGTAAACCTTCATTCGATTTTTCATTATAAGCAAGTTTGGTTAGTTTGGTTAGGTTATGATAGTTAAATTAAATTTAATTAAAATTTAACCTACAAACGATACGTTTTGACAGCGACGGTGATAGAGCTAACAATTTGCCGCGAACAGTTCGGCTATGCACGGTATGATGCGGAAGCGTTCTTATTAATTCAACAAATACATATAAAAAGCTTTGAAAGTTCAGCCCGCCCTCTGCTCTATAAAGATCTATAGATTATCGTCGATCATTAGAGATACAGTTCTTATGTTATAAACGTGTATTTATTCAAAACTAAAAAAACTTACGCTACGTATCCAACTCAAGATTTTCCCGTGCAATATGGGATTCACTAAATTAGTGTAAATGACAAAAAGGCTGATTGTCTGCTTCGTAAATCAAAGTTTAATTTCAAGATAATTACAATTTTCAAATTTTACTATATTTGTTGGGGAATCAGAATAATTGTCATATACTGTTCCGGTACCGCACGGTACTCCGTTTCGTTCACGAAGATAAGGACTTCAGCCTTATTAATTTTGATTTGTATCCTTTATCACAATATTTCTTTGCAGTAAAGTGCTCTAATTTAATTTCTCACCAGGTCCCTGTACGACGGCGACCCTACGTTGGACGGGTACACCCGAGGTTCTGCACAATCAGCAAGGTGACATGACTTGAACTGTGTATCCCGCTCAGGATACCCCGAGGGATGAGCTCTGCTCCTGGACTGCACACCAATCCCGCAGGACTTACTGCAGGGAGACCACTCTCCCCAGCTGTTTTCCTTCGAGTCTTTCGGAAACTCGTTTACATCTCTCTGAACACCATTGTTATATACTTTCTGTTGGTTTTGAAAGTAGTCTTCATGATTTTGACCGCATTCTCCTAGTTTGTCAAAGTCTTTACGTTTCTCATCTTTCTTATCTCCGCACACTTTGGGTTTCTCTTCCTTTGGTTTCATGCACTCTTTTTCTACGGAAACTGGGAGGTCCATCGCCATGACGTCTAAACCACGAATGATCATAATAGGCACTGAAATGGAATAATTTCAAATGATTATACATTATGTATACAAAATAATGATATAATTTAAATAGGTTGTTTTGTAGAAGATTCCCGCATTTCTTCCAAAGTTTCAGGGACCTCTCAAATTGAAGTACAACTACGTTGGCTGCGAAATTAACAACACATCTATTTTAACAAAGTCTAACCAAACTAAAATCAGCAAATGGGTTTAATAACGTTTGTTGTTTGTTTGTTATAAAAATAACCACTTTTGTTACAAATTAGTGTAACATTGTACAATGCAAAGACGCAGAAGTAGCAAATTATAAGGATGGAAGCTAGGAAAGGGAATCGGTCTGAAACATGCGTCACATAGGCCTAGCATTTGTAAACCTGCAAAACCGTTTTGGGAAAACAGTAATTTTTAGTCAACAAAATATAAACTGTCATCCAACTTCTAAAGTTGGCATACAAAACCGAATTGGAAGCACACACAACAAATAATTTAATAATCATCTAACAAAACAAAAATTGCGAAAGTCTCACAATTGTTTCTGTAATCTAACTTCAGTATCAAGCAAAAATCTAAGTTAAGTGGAAGGACGAGTTACTAGATTTCTTATCTTGCGGTTCTTCTTGCTCCTTCCTCTTGCAACTCGCGTAGTCCACAGCTCCCTCGTATTCGCCGCCATCATCATCATCGTCATCGTCTTCGTTCTGCTTGGTTGATTTGCTGCCAGAATTGGCAAACTTTACTTTGTACGTTACTGGCTCAAACTGAAAAAGCACAACAAAACTGAAGATGTGGAGGCAGCGATAATACAAGTACAGTAGGCCTAATGTATTGATTGAGTTTGGATATTGACGTAGATAGTACATCTTAGCCAGTTCATTACTCAAAGAAAGCATACTGTATTTGAATTAGTCACTCATAGTGGGTAACAATTGAATTCCTATGATTGTTCATACTACTGTATAAGCTTACAAAAGATGCTAGGCCTAGATAGTTCAATAATGTCTTGCCCTTGCAGTTTTCAAGAATGAAAACGTTATTATAGACCAATACTATCGGTTGCCTTATTAAATTAAACACTACCTACTCTAAAACTGGCTAAATGTTTGAGGTGGGAATGAAGTGTTAAATTCACGAATCACAACGGTGTGTCTATAGACATAAAACAATTCTTCATTGAGTTTGAATCTAAGTTATTAGCATATAGCATAACATAATATTATACTATCGTGGATTGCATACTGTATACCTGTACTGTACATGGTAGTGTAACTTACAAGTAAGGAAATTTTCAAATATACTCAAAATAAGGAAGAAGTTTCCACAAACAGATTTTAAATATCTCAACTGGTTAAAAAGTCAAAGGGGTGCAAGAATACTCTTCAGCCACCCTGTATATGGGGAAGCAGCTACACTAATTCCCTAAAAATAAATAGGTCTTTAGGTCTTACCACAGACATTTTTGTTCGACCAAAAGAAATCTAGTGCCACCTGACCCCAAAAAAAATGAAAATGCCTAGTTGCATAAGTGAAAGAAAGGATTCAAAAAATCTACTATACTTATAATCTGTGATTCAATCTACACATTTTAAGTAAGTTAAAAACAGTGTTCTCTATAAGTTTGTGTACAGTATTTGAATTTGTAAATAAATACAGTACTTGGAAAAAACAAATAAATTGTCTTTCCAATACCTAAGACCTGTGGTCTGTAAAGATTAGCGTTTGTAATCGTGTTATGGATTTTTAATACCCACAAATACAAATCTTAAACAGGGTTTAATAGTCCAGGACCTGACTAGGGTTCTGTGTGCATGTCGTGTATAGTGAATTTTACTTTTGCATTTCAATATAGGTGTCTTAGGAAGTGTTTTCCACTCGGGTGTCAAGTTCGCACCTGGTACGTTTTCGAGCTATGACGTCATCAAAATGGCGGCCATTGATTTTTTTTAAATCGTATATTTCGCAAACTATTTGTCGGATCGGAATGAATGTTTTTTTGTTTGAAAGATAATTTTAAATGCTACCTGTTTTACATTTACACATTTGTTGTATGTTTAGTACATTCTTCGTAATTTTGCAAAAACCTGTATTTTTAAATATTTTTGAGTTATTTTTGTTTGTAACGTTTTATTGATACAATTTATAAAAAACCACCAATGAAAAAAGTTGTAGAACATTTAAAAATCTTTACAAAAATACCAAATTCGATATGTTTTACTCAAAAGATTACGTCAAGAAACTAGATAAATCTCATAAAAACACCAATTTTGGCGCAAAAACGCCTATTAGTCCGGCATCTAGGGCAGTTCGCAAGTCTTATAAAGACAGTTTCGCCATTCAATGTTGATGTACGTGTCTAAATAAGTGTTTTCAACTCGGGTGTCACGTCTGCACCCACTGCAGTTTCCGGTTATGACGTCATTAAAATGGCGGAAAGGGCTATATTAAAAATAACGATATTTTACATACCATGTATTGGATCGGAATGAACTTTTTTTGTTTGAAAGATAAGTTTACATGCTATCTTTCTTACATTTGCACTTTTGTTTTATGTTTAGTACATTTTTCGTAATTTTGCAAAAACCTATATTTTTAAACATTTTTGTGTTATTTTTGTCGATAACGTTTTATTGATACAATATATCAGAAATAACTTATAGACAAAGTTGTAGCACGTTAAAATAACTTTACAAAAATACCAAATTCGATATGCTTTACTCAAAAGATCACGTCAAGAAACTAGAAAATCGTACAAAACAACCTAATTTTGCGCAAAAACGCATATAAATCCGACATCGATGGCTGTGTTCGAGTCATATATAGACAGTTTTACCATTCAATGTTGATGTATGTGTCTAAAGAAGTGTTTTTAACTCGGGTGTCACGTCTGGACCCACTGCAGTTTCCGGTTATGATGTCTTAAAAATTGCTACATGTTACGATTTCACCAGCTATTTTACTTAAAATAAGACCATTATCCTCTTTTATGCAAATAAAAGCACAACAAATCAATGTAATTAGTCCATAGGAATGTTTCCACTATATAAATACCCCCGGTGCAGCAATCCTTTCGACTAAGCGAATTTCCATTTGCATGGATTGAGATTTATATGCGTTTTTGCGCAAAATTAGGTTGTTTTGTACGATTTTCTAGTTTCTTGACGTGATCTTTTGAGTAAAGCATGTCGAATTTGGTATTTTTGTAAAGCTCTTTTAACGTGCTACAACTTTGTTTTTAAGTTATTTCTGATATATTGTATCAATAAAACGTTGTCGACAAAAATAACACAAAAATGTTTAAAAATATAGGTTTTTGCAAAATTACGAAAAATGTACTAAACATAAAACAAAAGTGCAAATGTAAGATAGATAGCATGTAAACTTATCTTTCAAACAAAAAAAAGTTCATTCCGATCCAATACATGGTATGTAAAATATCGTTATTTTTAATATAGCCCTTTCCGCCATTTTAATGACGTCATAACCGGAAACTGCAGTGGGTGCAGACGTGACACCCGAGTTGAAAACACTTATTTAGACACGTACATCAACATTGAATGGCGAAACTGTCTTTATAAGACTTGCGAACTGCCCTAGATGCCGGACTAATAGGCGTTTTTGCGCCAAAATTGGTGTTTTTATGAGATTTATCTAGTTTCTTGACGTAATCTTTTGAGTAAAACATATCGAATTTGGTATTTTTGTAAAGATTTTTAAATGTTCTACAACTTTTTTCATCGGTGGTTTTTTATAAATTGTATCAATAAAACGTTACAAACAAAAATAACTCAAAAATATTTAAAAATACAGGTGTTTGCAAAATTACGAAGAATGTACTAAACATACAACAAATGTGTAAAAGTAAAACAGGTAGCATTTAAAATTATCTTTCAAACAAAAAAACATTCATTCCGATCCGACAAATAGTTTGCGAAATATACGATTTAAAAAAATCAATGGCCGCCATTTTGATGACGTCATAGCTCGAAAACGTACCAGGTGCGAACTTGACACCCGAGTGGAAAACACTTCCTAAGACACCTATATTGAAATGCAAAAGCAAAATTCTCTATACACGACATGCACACAGAATTCTAGTCATGTCCAGGACTAAATCTTTCCCGGAACGTACACCACTTTCAGTGTTCGTTTACGATTTATTCAATCTCTTTGCTTTATCTTTAGGTCTAATCACATATTGTTTGGTATCATTGGAAAGGGTATAGAATCATCTGCAACTTTTGCAATGGGTGGTATTTGATTTTATCAGCGGTTAAGAAGTTATAAGCAAAACAATAAATATAATAATAATAAAAAACACGTTTTTTAATATAGTGAGATAAATATTAAGTTTACAACAAAAGTGTAAATACAAGAAAGATAGGGTGTAAAAATATCTTTCAAACAAAAAATAAATCATCCTGATCCATTAAACGGTTCGCGAAATATACGCATTCAAAAATTGCTGAGCCGCCATCTTGATGACGTCATAGCTCGAAAACGTACCAGGTGCGAACTTGACACCCGAGTGGAAAACACTTCCTAAGACACCTATATTGAAATGCAAAAGTAAAATTCACTATACACGACATGCACACAGAACCCTAGTCAGGTCCTGGACTATAAGTAGGTAGTACCTAACCAAAGTGAAGTTATGACATAGTTTTGTATACTTGAATAAACTGTCTGCTTATAAATGTCTACTTAGGTTACTATTGTGAAGGCTTACTTACCGCGCCATCGTTAAGCAGTTTTGAAACCTGTGACTTGTACGTCTGTGTTTTCTTTGTATCATTCTGTGGGATTGGCATAACTTGCTTATTTAACTGAAAAGTGTCTTTAACTTTTTTCGGTGTCGTCGTCATTTCAACAGGTTGGTTAGGGTTGGGTTCTTTGTAGCTGGTAGGATAGCCGCGCACGCCATTTAAATCGAACCAACATAAAATTACAAAAAACGCTAAGACTTCACATTTTAAATACGCTGAAATACCCATAATACTTGCTTACGTTAAAAATTTTGAAATTAAAATATTCGAGTATACTAACATAAAACTAACCCGCGCTGAAGCAAATAAACAGATTAAATGTTTCCAAAATATGTTCCCTTGATAAACATATGATTTCTCTTGTTTGAAGGTCAGTGGAAAATGTAAGTACGATTAGCCAATAATTGTTTGTATATGTTATTGATTAAAACGTCGCCGTTGACTTTGGAATTGGATAATGCCAGTAGACTTATTCTCCTAGTGTTGAAGTTTATTTTAGCGACTGTTTAATATCCGATATAGTGCGTTGATTTTAAGGTCAATTTTACAGTGCATTAAGTGCACTCGACTTCGTCTCGCACAAGACCGACCACACTCATCCGATAAACACATATTTTTCAGGACTCAGGACTAGTAAAACGTTATATACTATTATTTCCTTCAGAGGTTTGAATGCCTTCTTAAATCATTAGTCATTTAGTTGTGTCAATTTTACGAGCGTTTTTTTATGAAATGTAGTAGTGAATGTGACAGAAACAATTCGTACCTAGTTAACAGATATTAGGGAATCACTAGGTGAAACCTGTCGAAATCGACGGTTACTTTAAATGCTTACGTTAATTCATCTAACTGCGATAAATTGGGTGAAATATACATATTTTGAGCATTTGGCATTGTTTAAAGAGTAATAAGTGTAAAAACAATAATGATATTAATTGCCAAATTTGGTTGATCATTCAATGAATTAGTTATTTGTGCAACTAGTGAGAAAAGTGAGCAATTGACTCACTCGAGAGAAATCCTTACTCACGAGCCGTAGGCGAGTGAGGAATGGTTTCTCGAGTGAGGCAATTGTACTTTGAACTCGAGTTGCACATTATACTTTTCCTACAGTTACCATAAAACAAATAAATTTGTGAAGAAACATAACCTATTTTTACACAGAAGTGAACTTTTAATATAACATTTAATGTGAAGTGACAAATACAACAGTACAACAACAGCTGACCAGCTGATTTACATCCAGTGCTGCCAACGTATTTCGCGCGCATACGACGTTGCCTGCATGTTACGCGCTCACTATTTCGTGCCTTCACGCTGCAAATCTGGAGTGAGACAATGTCAACATTGTCTCACTGATGAGCGAATTGGCCACTTTGCTTTCTCAAATCAGTGAGAGAACATGTACATTGTTAGGTAACTGTAGGAAAAAAATATTTCCCATACCGTACGTCATCGGAGTTATTATTAGTATGTTATATGGTATCTCTTCCTTTGGAAGAACCTTTAAATAGTATTAAAATCGTATTGGTGGATCTTTTGTAGTTAAACACTTCCGGGATTTCATCAGTGTAAAATGATTTTATTTCAAGAGAAAATTTTATTTGGGCACATATTCATATTCTAACTTCAAAGAAAGGTATATCCATTACAGTGTAAGTTTGATTTTTCCTTCGTCACGTCGCGTCAGTTCATATTGTACCAATGAATGAACCCTATAGCCATAGTTTTGAGAAATTGATTGTGGGGTTACTGTTAAAGCTGGAATTCCTTGATATGTGGGATGTCAGTTAGTTGTCCCAGCCTTATCTAAAACATAAAGTTGTCAATATAATCTCTCTACGGAATGTTAGGTGTAGTGGAATACTTGAAGTGAAGTTGGCTTTTATTCTTGACTGTTAGGGGACTCCTAGTTCATATGGTCTTCAGCTTCATTGGCAACAAATAATGCAAATCACATAGCAATGGGACATTTCCAAAAAAGCAAAAATACTGTAAATTGGTTGTTACGTATATATTGATGTTTACATATTGTTAATCAACGTTATAAGGGATTATGTGATCTAGTTTAAAAGGAATATGACCTTTCTGTCATGACAGTATAGGTGCTTAAATAGTATTTTATCTTTGTACCATATTTTACAGCCAAAATGTCGTGTTATTTTCAATAATGTTACCAACCCAGTGCGCCAAAGTTCGTAATATAGGCAGGTGCAAATAATTTGTCAAGATGGATACCATTTTAGGCAAGGGTTTCTATGTTTGGATTATTCATTATTCACTTATTATTCACTTGGCCAAAATGTAAACAACTCTGTGGAGGGATCTTTAAAGGCTTCTGGGGCAGAGTCCTAAGGGATTTTGCTTAGTTTTTCTTTTGATAACTCATCTACAGACCAAGACCTTTCTTTGGACACCTCTACCAAGTTTCTACGCCCAGCCGTTCTCTCAAATTAGTGGGGACAAAGTTTCCAATTAAATATTTTGATTCCCCCATGTTAATCTTATCGGAGAAACTTCAACTTTGATGGCCTGTGGGGCAGAGTCCGAGGATTTTTATTATCGGAATTGCTGAAAGGGGGCGTCTACATATAAGATACTTTATTTTAACCCGTCGTTTGTAAAAATTCGTCCATTATTAACGGAGGAGTAGTGTTTCGTAGAAATCGCCTTCACGTATTATATATAAGGATAAGTTTATCTTTTATGACAGTTCTTGGCAATATTATCTACTTTTCAAAAGGAAATCAATATATTTCAATAAATCCCATCCTAGCAGATAGGGTCCTACCTTGTTCTTTTACTAGCATATAATTTAACCCTTTAAACTCCCTATAATTAAGCGATTTTTTATTCCTATTTTATTATGATTCCCCTCATCTTATGAAGATTGAAATGCCAAATTTGAAAACGTTTTGGTGGACCTACACTGTCACATTAAGGCATAAAATAAAAAAAAACTGCAAATTGTTTGATCACAGGTGCACCTCAAGAACTCACCAATCCTGTAAACTTCTAAAAGAGGTTTCCACTCTTTAATTTGGGTGAGCCTCTTCCATTAATCTCTGCCACAGAACTCATGAGATGCAACCAGATTGGAGCAAGATGGGATTTGACCCTCAGTGCACATGATCCTTAGGCCCCTTTTATATTCTGCGGCGCCACACGCCCCTGCCTTCAACGGCGGGCGCCGCATGTTTGTGCAACAGCCATGGCATTGTTGGGGCTATCAGGGCTACCAACTTAGGAATTTCTCACAACACCACTAGTGTTGATTTGTAGTGAGTGAGAGATGGCTGGGCTTCTTGATCCAGTTGTTTTGGCCTACATGTTATTTAGACTAAGACAAAGAGACGTCGGAAAAGACGCTGGTATATCCATCCCATCAACCAGGCAAGATCCAACGATGTTGCTTTTATTTAGGAACTTGTTTTATCTTTTACTGATGGTGACCAGTTCTTCACCATCAATCTACCCTGTCAATGTTGACTTCAGTCATAGTAGGTTCTGACATTTTGTATGCACAAAATTTGCAAACTGATGGTTAGAAAAGAAAAACAAAACCACCTACCACTCTGGCAACATAAAGTGAAATGAGGGAGGCAAGGCAATACCATGTTCGGCTGAGTTTGTTTTGATCATTTGGCAGCACTTGACAGCCACAGAGTAAAAGGGGGTCTTGGACCACTCAATCTTTCATCTCACTTAAGAGTCAATCACACTAACAACAATGGTCAACCAAAAGCCCAGGTGTATCAGCATTCAACTTTACCCTCAGATATAGCTTACAGGCGTTTTAGTCATTCATGTGGAAGATTGGTTATCTAGTTAGCCTTGCATTAAATTTTTAAAGCTCAAAGAGAAAAGGCAGAACGCAGAAAAAACGGTCAAAACCGGAATTAGTTGCCTTACAAAAACTGCAATGAGGTCTGTAAACATAAGAAGCAAGAAATGCACAACAGTTACATGAAAATGCATACTGCATACTGTACTAAAAAAGTAAATTAGGGTAAATATACCTGATTAAATCCAACAAGTTATGAGGTGGAAAACTTGGGAATAGCTAAATTTCAGAGCCCCATGACCACAAATCAGAAAACTACACTGTGTTGACATTTAATGGGAAAAGTTGAATAAAGGCAGACAAGTATTTAAAGTTGTACTTTAATTGTCACTAACATTATCTGTTTACAATACCTACACGGGATATAATATGTAACAATAAAATATATACAAAGTTTGACACTTGTGATACACAAGCAAAAAATCTAATTTGTCCTGTTCATAGAACAAGATTGTTGGTTCTTCATACAACATGAATAAATACTTTTATCTACATAGGAAAAACGATTTATCATATTATTTACATAAGTTATTTGATAAATACATCGATTCACGAATATACATCGAAAACATTTATGTAACAAAAAAGCAAGTTGGTACATACTTATACAGCTATGTATTATTTAAAGTTGTAAAATTAGGTATATAAAAAAAATACATTCCTAAAACACGACCAAAGCAAGTTGACTGTGGAACTTAAAAATCTACAAATAAATCACAAAAAAAGCATGTCAAAATGCATTACAATGCTGAAATTGTGTTTGGTTAAAGATGCTTAGGAAGTCTAAAAGTTGACATGCCTCCAAAGTGTTTGTAAATAAAATATGTGAATTTATAACACACAAGCATTACACGTTCTTTAGGTAAATAAATAATAAAATACAATAAAACATTGATATACCTTCACTCTTATAACATTCAGTATCTGTCATCTCAAAAATGTGTATATTATCGTTGCTAATAATTTACAGTGAATCATAGACCAAATAAAACAAGACTTCTCATCCCATTGTAAATTTTGAAGCTCGTTTTACATGCCTAGTTCATGTACATCGACACTGATCGCTTGTGTCGACAACATTTTGTTTCTATTATTCTAAGGTTAATATAATGATTTGTACTTTACTGTTTGGTTATATAATTCGGGGACGTGTTGTTGTTTATGATTAGACCGTTTTGTTTAGTTAAACAAGGTTTAAATGCCTGAAATAACAAGTAACAAATTGTAAACTAACCTGACTTCTACAGTGCATCGGTCAGAACTAACAGTGAAATTGGCTTCAGCTGTCGAATGTGATGTTGGAGTCGTGTTTTATTTACAATTTGTTTCTATTATTTTAGGGTTAGTTTCTTAGGATTTGTGCCACACTGTTTGGTTATAAAGCTAGTGGACAAGTTATTGTCTATGATTAGATAGTTTTATTTGGTTTTCTTTTAGCTTACAGAATGTTCCTAGTTTGTCATTTATTTGATCAAATTATAACAACCCCTCGAGCCACAATTTATGTTTTAAGGCTTACAACAAGAATAAAATATTAGGCCTTGTAGTAGTCAAAACATATCAGTACGACAGCTGGTCCACAAGCTCCAGTGTTGCCAACTTATTTTCACAAATACACAACCTTGCCTTGTTGTTGCCTGTAACTGTTTTGGTGTTGATAATCTGGAGTGCAGCAAAATAAAAACGAGTGCACAAACTCATAGCATCCTCTATTTTATGTGTGGGAATCAATTAAAAAAAGTCTTTTTAGGTCTTTGGAGAAAAATTACATAAATAGCAAAGAATTCAAAATAATCTAATGTACACAACCAAGTTCTTTGGATCAGGTAAGATGGATGATTTTGAAAATAAGTTCCCAATTACCAAATACATACAGTAATTAACTTACCCAATAAAACTATGTCAACAACTAAACAAGTTTATTTTACAAAAAAGTTAAACAACTTTTTTATTAATCAAAAATGTGGAAGAAGATTGACAAGTTATGTAACAAAAAGTGTAACACATTTCAATATTTTATATTAGAATATTTCAAAGTGCACATATTTAGAGTATAAATAACTCATAACATGCATGCAAATAGTGATGACTTTCAGTCTTCAAAGTTGTTTAACAAATAAAACCAATTTCTCATAAGAGAAACAAGAAGTTTCCAATAAACGCATTAACAATTCAAAAACTATATTTTTGTAAAAATACTAGACAGAATTGAATACAAATAATGTTAAGATTTACACATTCTCTCACTTATAATTAATTTTGGTCAAACAAAAACGTAGTAAACATTATACAACTTTTTTATCTTATGTCAAATAAGCAATATTCGACTTGTATAAGAAGTAAATATTAAATCACTCAGTTAAAATCATTCACCAAACACAAGTGCAAAATGATAACAGATTCAAAGTAAAAATTGATTTAAACAACCAATTAATTCAAAATAAATAAAAATGTTTTCTATTATTAATGTGTAACTGCAAGATTACGAACAGGTAATGTAACCTCTTTTAAAACTGTATAGAAGTTTAAACTTATTGCTAATAGGATCACAGAGGCAGCTTTTCATTCTTCAAAAATCCTGAAAAAATTAAAAATTCAATATTATTTTACTTTTCTATGTCTTATGTTTTTTTAAACATGTTTAAAAAAGTCTACACTAAAGCCAAAAGTTGGTTCCTAACTTACGTAATTGTTGGTTCCTACAATTGTCTGTCGATTTACTGGCATAACCTCAGAATTTAAGCAACACTAAACTATATTAAAAATACTGGCATAACCTCAGAATTTAAGCAACACTAAACTATATTAAAAATATATCATAAGAAAAATAATATTACAACTTGAGGTAAGCCAGCTTGAGATTTTGTGGCCCCCCGCTTGTAAAGAAATTTTAAAAAAGGACTTATAATCTAGCAATATTTGAAATAAATCTTACTTTCAATGAATGGCACTTTGCAGAATATGAATGTTTGGTTTGGTCTTATGTTCAGGTTCATCTTCTTCGTCTTCATCAAATCCAAAACAATTCTGCATGTCGTTTTGTTGAGGAACTGCTTTCGGCTGACTAAGCAACACCTCCTCATTGTCTGATGCTGCAACATTACGCATATAAAAATGTAGATAAAAGAAAATAGTTACATGTTGGTAAACATTTCAACATTACCAACAACTTTAGTAACAATAACATCATCAGATTCACTGATACAGTAGACGCTCGCTTACATGGTCTTCAATAACACAACAACCTTGATTACAAGTGCACCGTTCATATTCACCATTTTTAATTAACCTCTATGACGGTTTTATTTCTAGTAAAAAACCTCGATAAAACACCATTTTTTTTTTAAATCACAATGTAATTCAAAACCTCTAAGTCATTTTGAGAACTCAACCTCGATGACACAACTGTATTGATCAGTTACCTGAGCATTAATTCAGAGGAAACATTGTCAATTCCATATAAAACAATTATACATCTGTAACAACACCTCGCTCCATTACGCAAAAATGCAAAACGCCAGTGCTTTTAACTAAACGTACACAATTCACTAACCTTAACTAAACTTTGTTACACAATGTTAACAGTACTTTGCTAATAAATATAATTTTAAAAATTAACTTGTTGGCATAAACGTTTCTCTGAAATCTCATTAAAAATATCATCAGTTGTTTTATTAACCTTGCTAACATGCCTGACAGCTGAATGACGTTGATAACACAACTTTTAACCAGATGCACATCGATAACAAAACTGTTTTCTGCCCTTCTTATCAAGGTCCTCCTGTCTCAATATAGTGCAGAAATTCACTTGTTTCACTAGGATTTTGATTGTTTAGAACGTCAGGCTCTAAAAGTTTTAGTTGTAGTAAAAGAATGTTGATTCATAAATCTCTATAACTAGGGCACAGCTTAGGCCCCGGCCACACGAGGCGAATTTAAGCCGCGCGGCTTATCTTCGCGCAAAGTTAAGCCGCGCGAAGTGCCTGGCCACACGGGGCGGATAAACCGCTTCCTGTTGGGTTTTCCCAGTATCAGTACTCTATTAAAACATAGTTCAGTTCACTCTTTTTAGTCATGGGTGAAACACTTAAATGTTAGTTTGTGCATTAAAAGCGTGTGGTGATCTGGAACGTTAACTTAAATCATTAGGTCCATCCCTTCATAGCGGAAAAACAATCTTTTGTGTTCCAAACCTTTTACGAGCACATGCGAAACCATAGTTCGGAGTTCATATGTATCAACAATCAATTCAAACATTGTTTGAACACCACACAACCGGTAAAAAATACACAAAACAAACTCAAAAACCACTGGAAATGTCCGAAGAACATCTCCAATAAGCGCGGCTGCCGCGCGGTCGAACCGTATCGTGTGGCCACTCTCATAAGACTACGTGTGTCATCCCCTCCAACGCGGCTTAACTTCGCGCGGTCGGGGGACGACATGTTGCGGCTCAACCGCACATGCGGCTAAACTTCGCCTCGTGTGGCCACTCTCATTTGATTCAATGTGTTGTCGAAGCCCTTAACTTCGCGCGGCTTAACTTCGCGCGGTTAAACCGCCTCGTGTGGCCGGGGCCTTAGAAAGAAGATTCTTGTAGTCAAGGGTCCTAGAGAAGAGACATTCAAGAAACATTTAACACGACTGATACCGCACTCGATTGTCGAGCCAAGCCGAGCCTAGATTGCTTGAGTGACAGAGCACCACTTCACATAATCGAGCTCAAGCTGCAGCCTTTTCTATCACAATATCATCATTATTACAGAACTAGTTCTCTTTTGACTGTGCAATGAAAAATTTCCACTGTGCCTCGATCGGGAGAGACGATGGTGACTTTTCCGTAATTGTGGGAGACAAGAAAGATGTTTAGAATTTTGTTTGTTATTATTTAGAAATTTGCACAAATGACAGTCTTGAAAGCCTTTATAGGGTCCCTGAAAAACCGTTGATTGTCAAAAACTGTGACTTATTGACTACTCTCATACTCACAATGGTGGTCAGAAGTGATGTGCTGATTCAACACCTGGTTGTTGTGTACCAGAACGGACGTGTTCTGACCTGTCTGCTGCTGTAAAGCTGCGACAGCTTGCTCAATACCTTCCCCAGCCATCACTGCCACCGCCTGCTCCTGTCCATCGCTGTCCTGAAAAGTCATCAAACATCTGGTCAGCTTTTGACACGAGTCATATTGAATTAATGCATGTTTGGCGAAATACAAATAAGTAGCCTATTATTGTTAAGTGAAAAAAAAAAACAGCTGATTATTTGGTAAAGGTGTTAATATGGATGGAACTTGGTAAGATTGGAAACTAACCTTTTCTAATGAAGCCTATAAATCCTATTTAAAAACAAAAGCCAACCATTCAGAATTATTTCTCATACTAGTGTAGGCCTATTCGAAACATTTTAGATGAACCAATTTAGAATTATAATACTCCTATACTTAATAACAGTTTTACACGGTACAGTTATTTTTTGTACATATAATTAGAGTTATTATCTAATATTGACTGTAACTTGGGTTGAATAGCACAATGACAAATGACATGTTGGTCCAGAATCAGGCATGCTTTTTAAATTTAAAATTTTGAATGGGTTACATGCAATTTAAATCTACCCGGCAACCTTAAAATTTGGAGGCAAGCACTATAACCATGGTTAGATGTTAGTTTAATCAAACTTCCAAATTTTTTCTATTGAAGGCATTTTATAAAATGCACTTAAAAACTGATAGTAACAAAATATAGTTGGAAGACAGTTTACCTGAAGTTGTATAACTTCCAACACAACGTACTGTTGACCGTCAGCTCCCTCCATAGACACCATGGATCCGTCCATCTCATCCTCCTCGTCTTCATCATCCTCCCCTGGCATCACCTCGACCTGGGCAAGTGTATCGTCATAGGTATAATTATCTGACTATCACAGGACAGGCACACAATGCTGTATATTTACTCTGCATATGATTAAAAGTTCAGTATAGAATGGTTCATTCTGTGTAGCTTTGATGTTGACTAAGACCAGCTGTTTCTCTAGCCTAACCATCTATTACAAGCCCAAAGATCAAGCTGTGACCAGTTTAGAACCATCAAAAAGCTAGTGACTGTTGCAGTTGAACAGGAACACTTTTGATTTCCAAGCAAACACTGTAACCATTCAGCTACCTAGCCATCACCGTACGACATCCTAGATAACGTAGCAGATATGATGGCAGAGGAACAGAAATAACTTTGAATTGCGGTACAAGATAATAGAGAATCTTTATGTCCCAAAAACTTATGGATCTCATCACAAAAAAAATGTTTTGGTACAACCTTACTCACTCAATATCCAGACTATAGCCATATTTAAATATTAAGTAATTCTAAAATGATAACTTTTGAATGCAATCACTGAGATGGAGACGCTACCTAAGTGCATATTTTAACCCAAATACGTGTGAAGAATGGTGTGAGATGATCTGTGTAGCTTTGTTACTAACTAAGATCAGCTGTTTCATTAACTAGGAATTTATTATTTATGAGGGTGAAATAAACTGTAAAATATTTACAAAGATCCAAACAATGCCTTGGATAGACTGAAACTTTGTAATTGTTTCTTTATGTATTTAAATAATAATTTTGAAAATCCGTAAATTAGTCTTTTTCACATGTTATTTTGCTGCTAAATAATAGTTAAACAATAATTAAGAGCAAAAAAGCACACAATCATTGGAAACCAATTGGTTTTAGAGTGTTGAGAGCTTGTATCGTAGAAGCATGTTTAGAAACATTAGCATGCTTGGCTGCCATCTTGAATTGATTGGGTAGAACCCTCTTAACACGTTCGCTGCTGACCGCTAGATGCCGGGACGGCGCCAGGAGCTGAACTAACGCTCGCCGTTGCGTAGCCTAAACATTGCTGCCGATACACTGAATTACAGTAAAAACAACAGTAGTCATACTGGATGGCAATGTTTTGCAATAAACCTGGCCTTAGACATAGTACTAAGTGATTCTGATAGATAGCATCACTACCTAGGTTGCAGTCGGTAAAGTAGTGTCGCTTTCTAGCAGGAAAGAGGTGGGACAAAGCCCTGTTCTAAACGACCCTGGTGGTAATTTTGGGAAACTATGTTTTTTATTGTAAGAAAAGTACGTCCCCACAAGCTGCAAAGAAATATAGGACGCTTGTGACGAGCTGGCTGATTCATGGCAATAAACGGCAACGTTCCGGAACGTTCCTAGCTCCTGGCGCCATGGCCCCGGAACGTCCGTAGCAGTGAACGTGTTAAAACCCAATGATAAGGAATAATTTGGTCCAGTTTAAAACCATCAAAAAGCTACTAACTTTTCTCAGGATCGATCCAGCGACCTTTATAATACATTTATAAATTTTTGCTCTATAGTAGAACCTCGATAACTAACAAGTCTCTCATGGGGATTATCAAATAAAAATTTTTATCAAGGTTGACTTCTTATCGAGGTTTGACATAGCCTAACATGTTTAAGGATAATATAAAATTGGGGGTACTTCAAAATGACACTTGTTAAAGAGGGTGTTGTTATTGAGGTATTCTGACTGAACATTGAAAATGACACACTTGAAGGAGAGTGTAACTAACACCTTCTTCACACTAACCTGTTGGCCGTCTATAATTTGTATCTTTTTCTGCCGCCCTATCTTGAGGGCAACCGCCTTCTCGTGGGCTGAGGACTCAGGGTCATGCACGGACATGTGTCGTATGAGGTTGCCCTTGTGTCTGAACGCCCTCTGACACTCGGGACATTCGTGTGTCTTCTCTCTGGGGGGCGGAGGGATGTAGTTGGGGTTGTGGTACAGGTTCTGATGCCTCTTCAACAACTGCTTCTGGCGGAACGACTGTAAACCATCATAAAACAATGTTGAACAGTTTTCATGAGGCCATAGCATAGATAGAATCCAAATCTCAGCTTATTTCCTGTGAAAATCACAGTCCAAAGGTTTCAGAGAACATAAATAAAAAAATATTACTCAATAGTAACATTTTGTTCAATTCTCAATTCTACGCTCACAATTCAGTAGCCTATATGTCTCGGGAGACAGAGGTGTTATTAAAATTACAAGAGAAGTATGAGTCCCAAAATTTTTTGAAAAATATATTTTTTTTAAGCACGATGGGGGGAGATGACCAAGATTTACCTCTATTTCGGGGAAAAGATAAAATGTCCCTGCAACCACGGCAAACAATAACAAAATTGCCTCAATCACAGATTACGGTCTTGATGACATAGACAAAGTACTGTATGTAGTCCTAGTTCAAAACAGCCTGGTTCACTGATTCGTTGTCGAGAGTGAGTGAAAAGGAAGGCTTGTCAACCACTGTGAAGAGTTATTAAAAAGGTAAGTAATTTACTATCTAAATTAAAAGTCTAGAAATCAAAAAATGATACGGACCTTGTCTGATATTTCACAGCCACTCTGGAAAAGGCACCATTTCATTACTTGACACATTAGGATTTTATATTCTATAAAATTATAAAATCATAAAATCCACAATTTTTCATATGCACTGAATTTTACAAGGTAGCCAATATAATTTGAAAGAAAATAAAAATGTAAAATTTTAAATTGGCTAAGATTTAACAAGTTACGTTAAATTATTAATAGGTAGACTTTTTAACTAAGTTGCTTAAACTGTAAAAGGGGAAACAAAAATTTTTATATTTTTTTAGAATCTTAGTTGTTAAGTATATCTCAGGTCAGATATAAGAATTTTATTTAATAAATTGCAATAGGCCTAATTTAGATTGTGCCACATAAGACACACAAAAAAGAAAAGTTGGTGCATATTAGAAGACATGTTTCCAAAGTGACTGAATTAGAGAAGCAGAAGTTTTACAAAACAAAAAATGTACTTGTACATTTAAACAACAATAAAAGTATGAATGGAGGAGGTGATAAATAAAAAAATACTTACATCTCTGTTTTTTGGAGGGTGATGACTATGTGGGCATATTTATTGGTTAGACGTCATACAATGAATGAGTAAATGTTTAAGTGAGAGAAGTAGGCTGGTGATTAAGTGCATGTGGTTGTTAAGGATGTCATGAAACTGTTTCTTGGAAGTGTTATGAATAGTCTTGGAAAAACTACCAGTACCGAGAGTTGCCATGAATGTTGGTATCAGTACTTTGAGACCTTCCAATAACTTATTGGCGGTCCCACCAAACATTGGAAAAACTATCAAGGCAACATTCATAAGCTAATGTTGCGATCAAGTCAACACTGTACCTAATCATCTCCCGCGGGTGAGAAGCATCATCTTAATTATCTACCAACACAGTTTTCTGACTTGATGCAACAACATAAAAAGAACCGACAAAATGCCAGGTCCACGTTTCTTGGTCCACATACAGTTTACAGACTTTTTTCAGGTAATCAAAATACACTACAGTTACCAGTTTCATGATCGGTTAATTAATGAATAAGACTGACTTGTTGACATACCTGGTCACACTTGTCGCACTGGTAAGGTTTCTGGTCCGTATGTATCAACATGTGCGAGTCTAGATGTCTCTGAGATACTGAAGCGTACGGACACAACTCACACCTCCAACACTTCTCACCTTCATGTGATTTGTTGTGAACCTGTTCAGAGAGAAACATGTCAGTAAAACTGCAATCTACAACTTACATATAGATAATCAAATTAATATACAGAATACGATCAGCAAAACCTTGTTTTCCCAGTAGTCAACCAGCCTTTATTAATGGAGATTTACAGGTCCCAGATGTTTCTGGGTTTGGCCGCGTGAACAGTTGGCCCCAAGGGATCCGTTTGGACCGACAAAGATTATAGGGCCAAGCTTGGGTCGAGTTAAGCAGAGCCGAGCGTTTATTTCCGCGTTTAACGATTGAAAAATGTTGATTTTGTAACGATCGCAGATGATGTTTGGTTTTCCAACAACTGTAGATGATAAAGATGTCCTAAGGACCACAGAAGATAATCAAAATTTTTTTGTAATCTGGGAAGATGTTCACCATTAAGTTGTTAATGCAAAAGATATTCTAATTTTAATTTTTTACTGTGACCAAGGAAGATGTTCCAGATTTTGCCATGACAATGGAAGAAGTTCAAGATTTTGCTGTAAGAAAAAGACCACAAACGTATGGCCAATTATTTAAAAAGTAAATGTGGGATGAAATCACAGGCGGCAGATTGACGGTCTGGACGAGCATTTGCTATAACTCGCACATTCTTTTTTCACCTCCACCTAGTTCCTAGTTCTTAGTTCTGTTCCTTCTAAGAGGTATTTAAGCCACTATTATATTCGTACAAAAAGTTATTCAAAACCTTACAACATGAAAATGCAACCATCCATTCAAATGCAGGCTGCACTTCTTCTTACAGAGGAGCCTCTACATTTAGGACATAGGCCTACTGTTCACTAATCAACAAATCTCTGAGGGTTAGGGGATGAAGCAAAAATCTCACTGATGGTGTTCTTAAGGACTTAAGTTTCCATAAAAAATGTTTAAGGGCAACCAATTTATTTTTCGACACTTAACAAAAGGTTGTTGCATAACTCACAGCGTGTATGTATGTACCATACCTTGTAGGTGTACCTATCCGGGAACTGTTTGCCACACCTTTTGCACCGCAGAGGTTTGTCAGACGTGTGCAACTTCTGCACATGAATCCTGAGATCTGTCTTTCTCCCACATGTAGCTGGGCACAGCTCACAATGGAACACTGGCTTGTCTCCAGCTGTAATATTTACACAACTTTAATTACCAAGTCATGCCTTTGATTATATTTTTAAAATTTTGTTTTTAGAGGAAAGAGCACTTGGCTTAGAAAGAATGAATGAATCCATGTCACTAACTTAGCTAAGAAAAGAGTTGCAAGCAGTTCATGGCACACAAATGTTAACACCACAATTACTAGAGCCTATGCTACTCGTATTTCGCTTCTCTAAGGAAGCTCCATCAGATGGAAAAGTAGGGCTTCCTTGATTGTGTTTTGAAGATTTTGTGTGCTATCAACTACCTGGAATTCTGTTCTTTGATAAATTAGTTGGGTATCCAGTCCTTTCCTCAATATTATTGAAAGAATGTTTGTTTGTCAAGATAAAATAATCTTGTTAAATTAAAGCATTACTCCATAGATGTACCTTATCTGGATTGGATCAAAATCTAGCCTCAGCCCTTTGCTTTCTCCCTGAGGCCTTCACAAGTTTAATAATGTTAATGTTAATGGGAGTGTAACTTATCCGTAGATTCACTGCCACTATGTTTTTTTTTGTTTTTTTTTCAGGTTTAAATAGGTTGAAAGAAGTTATCTAGTTTAAATATCGTAAATTTCTAAACCCTGTTTATGATTAGGTTATTTTAGGTTGGGGATTAGAACCACAACATAACTGAAACTAATTGTGTTTTGTTGCATACAAACTATACACTGGTAGTAAATTAACGGAAAGGGTCGTCAAGTAACAACATTTAAACTAATTTTCTACTTATTCTCACTTTTGCCAGGAGTGAAAGGGAATGTTGGTCTAGTTACCGCTATGGATGAGTTTGTGAGCTTTGAGGCTGTTGGACTGAGTGAAGCGGGCGTGGCAGATGTCACACTCATACGGCTTCTCCCCCGTGTGGATCCTGAGATGCCTCTTGAGTTTAAACGTGTCAGGACTTGCGTACGTGCAGTGTGGACACTGTCAAAACACATTGATGTGTTAGTTAGATATAGTTGTATACAAATAAGCATTTTAGTTGTATACATGGCTGGGCTGAAATAATACTCCCTTTTTTCTAAGGCCGATTCTAACTCTCAATTTCTCAAAACCCTCAATCCCAGTTGAATCAAGGAATCATCAACTCTACATACTCGGTGATATATTCATAATGTGCCTCCAGGATTGATTAAATAACATAAATAAGGTTACTGACCTGTTAACAATCAATCCTATTGATTCTAGTTCAATTACATACAACTAATTGTACCTAAAACGTAACACAAACATTTAATTTAACTAGCCTAATTGTAACATTAAACGTAATGCCATGTTGATTAATTTGAACAACTCGAGTCTACGCACAGACCACTGAGGTCCATGAAGACTCATTTCCGTTAGATTAATAATTGCTAGCTGAAGCAATACATTTCAATTAGTACTTAAGATTCTACCTTTTTAAATTAATTTTTTAATTTAACTTTACCTCAAATTTCAGGAACTATTTTATGTAAGTGCCTGAAGACTTATATCTTTGTATTTTATTTTTGAAAAAAATTATTATTTTATTTGTATATTATTGTGGAAATAAATCTGATTTCATTTAGTGGATCCACTGCACTTGAGGTCCTATTGAATCCACTAGATTCAATATTATTGATTGACAACAGATCAGTAACTTAATTTATGTTATAATCTGTGACTTTTAATTATTTAGTACAAGATTTTAGTTATCTTTGAAAGCATTATAACATTATTCAATTTCTGCAGTCGCATAAAAATTGCGAGTATCTCCAGTTTTCCGTGGCTCTGTAAATTTAGACTCTATAAACTTTACACACGCCTTTTTTAATTTAGAATGCCCATCTTCCAACCAGTTATTCTTACTCCGCCAAAATAAATGAGAAATAAGTCTCTAAAACTTTTGTGAATTTTCAAGTTCTAAACGTCCTTCTTTTAAATGGGCAATCTTCGAACTGCCAGATCAACTAAGGCATCCTTTTTGGTGCAAGTCCTTTTGGTAAAAAAATTTTGATTTCTTATTATTAGACTGAAAACATCAGGCTAAATGATATTCTTTTAAACTTATCACTTTGACATAGGCTTACCTGGTAAGGCCGCTCGCCCGTGTGACATCTCATGTGATTCCTCATCTTGCTAAGTTCAACACTCGCGTACTCACAGATGGTGCACTTGTGAGGCTTCTCGTGAGTATGTTTGTATCTCACATGTCTCACTAATTCTCCTGTCAACAAAAGCATATATGGTTTAAAGTGATCAATTATTGATTTCAGCTATTTCCCTTATGTTTTCCCCTAGTTTCTCATGATTTCCTTCAGGAAATTGCTTTGATTACTTATTGCAAAAAAATTTGTATGATAATTTTATGTTAAGCATCAACTTTGTCAAAAGACAAAAAGCAATAATTTTCATTGTCAATTCTTTATCACAATAAATCATCACATAAGCGAATATTCTAATACACATAATAACTTGAACAAAAATTAATAGAGATCTGCAGAACAAACAAGTAATCATTGAGCAATCAATACTGTATCATATAAGTTTATAAATTAACTCGATTAAAAATTGATAGTATCGTAACATTTTTCTTAAAAATGCAATTTTTAATTCAATGAGAAATGTTAAGTAGTATAATACGTCTGCACGAATTAAGACCATAGTATGTTTTACAAATATTTGCAGAATTCCATGCATAGGCCAGACAGAGGTAAGGTTACCTCTTGATTGTATCCGTACCTGAAGTGGTGAATTGGCTTTCACAGTATTTACAACGGTGGGGCTTGGTGCCTGTGTGAGTGTTGACATGGTTCTGTAGCGACGCCAGTGTCTTGAAACCTCTCTCACAAACGCTGCACTTGTGTGGACGCTCCTCCGAGTGAGACTTCATATGTCGTGACAACAGGTACCTGTAAATCAATCAACTAAGTGTCCAGGCAGTTATCTATTTATTTTTGCCCCACACACAGTTCCTACTGAAAATGTTTAATTAAAAAAAGCTACAGCTAATTAATTTTCAGCAAATAAAATAGAAAAAGAATTGAACTGGGTGAATTCTTAACAGTTGTGTAATATTTTACAGAGTTACACTGAATAGATTTTTTTTAGAATTGTAGGTTTGTGCAAATGGTAAGGAGTTCATTTTGGCTCAATCAACACATACTACACACTATATGTACCAACATTTTTAAAATAATGTTAAGTCACTGACAACCTTTTAAACCAAGTAAAAAAGGTTTGAGCTGGGTACAAAGATGTCTCTAACACATCTTCTGTCTTCAACTTTCTTTCCAAAGTATTTAAAAATTCTGTCAGTGATAAGGAGTTACCTCCCTTGTGCTCTTACAATCCTTACAATCTTACCTGAATGGAAATTATATCCTGGCATAATAAACACAAACACTTTACCACATTCACTACCCCGTCACACAAGAGTCCTCATACAGAAATGTGTGAAGGTCGGTAGGCAAAGTGTTTGTGTCAGGATGGACTCTTTCCCATTCTAATAATCGTTCTTACAGAGTAGGTTTTGTTGAGAAGATGAATTATTATTGTTGATTAAATGAATAGCCAGTAAATAATTAAGGGACTGACAGTTTGGTTACAAACCTGTGTAGCTGGTGCACTTCACACAATCACAACTAACTCATAACTAACAGTATGGTTAGTCAACACTGACTTGAGAATACTATAGAAGCTATACCATCTGTTTAGACCTGCTGTAACATATCCTGAATTCCAATAGAACACAGTTCAAATTTTAATTTTGATAAGGGAAGATTTTATTTTAGTAATGCTTTTAGTAATGCACTGTAGTTAAATCACAATAAATGCCACCCATTTAAAGTAGATAAGTGCCAATACATGGCAAAACTATGTCTTTGAAATAGCCATGTTTATTACTAATTTAGTCCATCCACAAAATTTAGGTGGTTTAAGGGGTAAGATTTCCTGAGATCCCCACAACTTTTTTAGCTTAATGTGTATATCAAATAAACTTGTAAGCTATCAGCTGTCGTTTCAATATTAGGATGAGGTTTAGGGGATGGAATCGCTTCCCTTCAATCCCCCTAAATTTTGTGAACAAAGTATAATTTATTTTGTTACTAATGTTTTTTACTAATAATCATAAAGTTATGAAAATTTCTACATCTTGTTGATTAAAATACAATACCTTTTTGGACTGGTGTAATTGCAGTAGTTACACATGTGGGCTTGGGTGACGGTTTGTGATTTCTTTGGTAAAAGCTTTATTATTTTGGTCTTATCATCCTCATCTCCTGATTCCTATGAAACACAACATGTCATTCAGTTAGCAATAGGAAAAGAAAGGTTTAAACCAACATATTTAAAACAATACAGTAACATATTTTATTATTTTTTTTATGATACAGTAGAACCCCGGGTTGAAAGAATTCAGGGTAACCGAAACGGTTCCATAAAATAACAGTGCTAAAATATAAGTAATATGCTGTAGTAACTTCAGTTGTATAGTTTAGAGTATTTTCTAACCGATTGTAACATTTCTGTAGCTGAAATAAAACACTGTATTATATAGACATTGTTTTAAATTTATTTTTCCTACACACCGTGGCTATACACACTTAGGCTATTTTTAGCATATATGACGGGTTATCCGAAAAATTGGATATCCGAAACGGCTCTCCCCACATTATTTCAATTAACCGGGGTTCAACTGTAACTGTTTTTTTTCTTTCTAGAATCAGATTAGATAGGTATACATAAGTTGTGTAAAGCTTTCAACAACAAAACATATAAATATATTAATATTAGTGGTGTGCGAGCGACTCGATTTACAAACTGAGCCAAGCCTGGCCTACAAGCTCAAGAGATCAAGCACTAAAACAGAAAATCAAGCTCAAGCCAAGCTTTTAAAACCAGGGTTGGTACTAAATTTGGAAAACAAAATTCCTTGACTTTTCCAGGTTTTCCAGACTGATATTATACTTTTTCCAGGTATACCGCAAGTCGATATCAACCAATCAAAATCAAGAAATATTAGAAAAACATTTAATATTTAACTTGTTTAATCACTCCCATTTGGGACTTTTGTATTTACAAAACTTGTTTCTTAAACTATTTATATAACGATTCTTTCCCCATACCGATAAATAATTAACGATATAGAAATGTGCATATCAGTGCTTATGTCGTTCTTTTTGCCATTAGTCATCACCCTGATAAAAACATGTTTAGGTGCACAATGTACCATATCTGTAAAAAAAGTTGTCTTTCAGGAGAAATTCCAGAACTTTTTCATAATACCCTGACTTTTCCAGACCAACCAAATTTCCTGACTTTTCCAGGTTTTCCCTGACCGTACCAACCCTGAAAACGTTATTGCGATTGTAGAACACGTCTGCAAAGATGGCGCAATCCGAAAGCGCAATAGCGGGACGACTATAAAGCCTATTTGACCATTGGGACGATAAATATTTTGCCACAACTATAGAGGACGAAGATTATATTTCCTTCATCCTGGGAGATATTAAAGATTTTGCTGCAATCGCAGAAGACAGTGGTGATGTTACTGTGTCCGTGCGAGATGTCCTATATTTTTTCCTAATAAAGGGAGGTAATAAAAATTAATTCTAAAATTAGGCTATTGTTTTGTCATTCTTTATGTTCTGAAAAAATATATTTAGTAAGGCTTGGGGCAATACTTGTAGTTTACTCATTGAGTAAAAAAAAACATCAAATGAAAAAGCTTGGCTTGAGATTCTGGCTTTTCTACAAAAGCTGGGCTTGGGCTCGGATCGATCAAAAATCTCAGGCTTACGCATCCCTAATTAAAATTGTAAATCACAAGTGAAGATCAAAACATTGATTTTGACACTAAAGGTTTTCAAATTCAAAAGACGCTAAAACTAATAAACTTATTCTGGTAAGTAGGCCTACTTCTTTGAATAAAAGATCAATTTAAAAAAAAGGTTGATGAAAATAATAATAAAAGATATGAGAAACCAGTTTAGGATACAAAAAGCATCAGCATAGACAACTACAAGGAACAAGAAAAAGAATAACAACTAAAAATAGGAAAAGAAAAGATTCAAAAACCTCTACGATTACAGGAAAATTTAAAATTGATGACAAGGATGAATAAAACTAAACTAACAGTCATAATCCTGTGGGTAATACTGTGGGTAGACAAGGATAAAATAAACATTGGATAGGACACCATGGTTGAGGAAATGAGTTGTAGGAAAACAACTCAGTTATTGTTTTGGCTAGATGTCTTGTTAATAAGACACAAGTTTCAAAGGAAAGACATCAACTTGTAATTCATTAAAACAGCTTGTTAGTCAACAGTGTTTAAACAACATGTAGGCTATAGCTTAATATTCATAATTTTCCAATTGGTAAACAAGGATTTTAATATAATCAATGAAAGGACAGGAATAGTTGTAAGACATATCAACTACTTATTCTAAACATCAGTTTGGCAATCACACACACATGCAAATATCCCAATGAAGTGACCAAGGTTAGTAATGGACGTTAGAAAGGACACCAGATTAGAGGAGGAACGAGGAAAACAAGAATCCCAAATATGATCCAACTCACCATTCCACTAATCGGCTCATTATCCTCTGCTTCATTAAAGTCGTAAACCGTATAATCCGGATCCTCTTGGTCCTCTTTGTCTTTCTCGTCGTCAGGCTGTTGTACTATCAATACGTAGCTCACCTCGCCAGGATTGGTCTCCGTTGGCATGATCCTCAAAGTTTGGAAACCATCCGCTCCACTCACAATCATTTGGCCACCCTCATCAACCACCTTAATACCATCATCGTTAGTGAAGTTTTGGGACAAGAAGAGAGTTGGACTGAAAGACTTTGAAATTGTTGAGGATACAATAGGATATGGGATATCTATGAAGAAAATTGAGGACGGAGAAGCAGTTACGAGACTGGAAGTGGATCATAGGTACAATACAAAGGTTGTAATCAAGAAATTAGTCTCTTCTCTATGCCTAAACAATGTAATAAATTGTCAGCCTTTAACAAAAATTAATTAACTTATACAAATGATAGGTCGCTGTTTTCCATCAGCTAAAATATGTACTAATGTGTTCTAGATTTAAGATACGTTTTCTCTCATGGCTGGTAAACCACACATAGATAACATAAGTGCATAGCATAGATAACACTTTTAGTGAAATACTGATGAATGTTTCATTTAAAAAATGGGATCAAAAGAATTTATGCAAGTTCAGTATTGGGACAAACTCAAAACCTTTATTTGACGCAGAAATCACTTTAAATGGTAAAATACAGACTATGATGAAATGCAAATCTTTTCTATTTCCCAAATTTAAGATAACTAATATCAGTTTAAGATGCATTAGTGAAATGTATTAGCGAATAATTCACAGCATGTAAAATGCCTATTTAATTCATTGTAGGCTACGTAAAAAAAATATATTTTTTTAATTGATGTTCACTCACATTTTCATCTACATCTCCTGTTATGGATTCTGGCACCCCTTCAATCACAAATGATGTTTCATTTGCGTCGCCAACGTCACTGTTGGGGTTGGCAATACCTGACACCAACATAAAAAACTTGGTTAGACATTAGGCAAAATGTTAGCAACCAGCCATCAGACTTGGTGTAGGGAAAGGATAGACCATGGATACAGTTCTGCAGATAACCTGCAATGTAATATCGTGATAAATACGATGATATCGATTTTGATTTAGTTCGCTATATCACTTCTAAACTATTATTTTTATTTCTTTTGAAAACATTGAATTGAGTTTCGATTTGTTTACTTTTTTATTGATGTTAAATAAATGTAAACATCTTAATCGAGTAATGATCTTTTATGTACCGTACTTTATGTACGTACTTTATGTACCGTACGTTAAATAAATTATAAATCTTTCAATATCCAACCAAAACAAAATATATTTGATGAACGTTTAAGAAAACAAACGTATCCTTGCTTTTTTCAGGTAAGAAAACAAACAATAACTAAAACAGCAATCAATTATTAACAAACAAAAAGTTTATATTGAGTACTACTAACTTCAGTATTTAATTAGTCTAGTATTTAATTCTTACTAATTTAATCATTTACTTCTCACCTGACACTACAGTCATGACTTGTTGTCCGTCAGGTCCTGGGGTCTGGTAGTAGTAGTGTCCTGCCTGGTCAACAAAGTAGGTAGCTCCTTCGTCAGGACCCTGGTCTCCAGTCATATCATCTGTGACACAAAGCATAGGCCTCTATACCTCAACAATCAACCTAACACTTTGTCATGTCAAATCTTTTGATTAAAAGTTCATAGATAAAATCATACATTAGATAGAGATAAAATCTGATAAAGCATGTAGACATTACGTTAAGCCCATAACTAACTGTATAAATGTCTAGGCTAATGACAATGATGTCTCCGTGACTATTATTATTTATTATTATTTCTTTGTCATGAGAGCCGAAGCCCCCTGACTGCGTACCCGGTACCTATCCTTGAGGACATACCCGGGCCCCATGATGTAGGCCGAAGCTTACGCATCAACCTTTAGCACATCATGGGCGGATGACTTAAGGTCATCAGGCTCGCCGGCTGCCGAAGCAGACCCTTCGGAAAGAGGGTTGCCCCTCAATCCTAACCAGGGATTCCGGCTGCTTGTTTAAGCGTCACTCCACCTGGGTTCCTCCAGGTACAAGCCCTAGAGGACCATAATGGAGCGCCCCGACGCATTTAGTGCAAGCAACACTCGGGACCTATCTAATCCCTGACAGGCAGAACCCGCCATCATAGCCAGAAGGAAGGGGACCGTCAGCAACCTCCCATTTACACCACTACCCGATCGAGGCCTTACCCAGTTGCTGGGAAACCAGAGATAACCAGAGCGATAGATCCCCAGATACCCCTGGCGGGCTCGGACCCAGCACCCGATCTACTTCGTCTGCCCGTCAGACCCAACATCACTGCCAGGCCATCAGGGTTTCCCAAAAGGAGGCAGGTATAGAAGTGGGACCCACCCGGATGAACCTATCCACCAGAGGTGGCGACACCCTTCACTCAATTGAGGTTCCGGGAAGAACCCCCCACACTCAAGATAACCATACCGTCCGTGCTCAGAGACAGGGATTGGTTTGCATAAGTGCCTACAAACCGTTACCCTCACACTGCGGAAAGTTACGTTGCCCTTGAGTGTCCCCGTGAGCTACGGGTACTTGCCCGTTTTCACCTCCAGGAAAGGCTACTTCCAAAGTCGAGGATTTGCCACACTGAATGCTGGTCGCACACAACAAGCAGGCCGAAACCCAAAGAACCACAGACACAGGTAGGTTAGAGAATATGATGCACTTCCATCTCCCCTAGAGCTAAACACCCCTCCATCCTGGATAAAGGAATGTCACTGGGACCCAATGCCCAGTCGTCCATGTCTGTGGCCTACTTGAAAATGCCGATACCAACACCGAGCAGTTACCTCCCCTTTGGGGGCGATGTCTCCGTGACTGTAGGAGATATTCACAATCTGTCCACAATCCCAGCAGACAATCATGGTGGTTTCGCTAATGCAGGAGATAATCAGGATTGGGGTTGCCACATAACCGGTTTTTCGGATTTCAACGCTCAAAATTTAACTCCGGGGGATCTAGAGCATTAGCGTAATTATTCTTGACAATGACCTGGCAAAAAACTGTCTCAGAATATACCTCTTCACTTGCTGGTTGCTTAACCTGGGCAGAGGGCATGTCAAACAGGTACTTTCTGTCATTACTGGACATGGCCATTTCAGGAAACACCTTTACACTGTAGGAATCGTCATTGACAATCAGGAGTGTCGACTTTGCAGCCAGTTCAAAGAGACTGCAAAGTACATTATTCTGGACTGTGACAGACTTGGGGCCAGGAGAAGGGCTCTGTTTGGTCTGAAGCAGCCAGGAAATGGCTGTACGCTTTCACTTTCAATATTTGATTATTGACTATAATATGTATCAAATTTGGCTAGCTCGTTATTTTTTTATGCGCCAGTGGGGGCCGCCAGCTGAAATCTCCTCTTTTTTACACAGTAGGTACCATATGGCAACTATAATCAGGATAGTACATTATTGTAAACCATCACAAATTTTAGTAACAAAGACATTGTGGTGAATGCATCATGATTGCTAAAGGGTGACCAACAGGAACTGGAACGTTTTTTTAAAGGACAACTTAGTGCATGACAGTTATTGTCGTGGGGGGTAGGGGTACCATTTACTGCTGTAATTATTATGCAATTTCAGTAGCCATGGAGCATTAAACGGTTAACACTGTATGCTTGCCTATAATGAATATGTACAAAATGGCAAAAACGGCAGTGCAGCAATTTTTTTATTATTTTTTTAGTTCCATTTATCTTTTGCTATGATATAGTTTCCAGCCTACAATTCTGAGATGAACAATCTGAGAAAAACGGGATCCATGCTAGAAGGAAGCTGTTTGGTCGAAATATGTTGAGATGTAAAACAACCATTCCTTTTTTTTGTTTTTTTCAAGTTTTTTTTACTTTTTTTGTTTGCCTAAGCGTAATTGTTGAAGTTATTAAGAAAAACTACTGTGCAAGAGGCCCATCCGCCCATCAAAGGTAATTTCGGCACTGAATTTAGGATTTTGAAAACAATTCAAGCAATCTTTATTCCTTGGGGTTTCAATAATTTAAGACAGCAATCTTTAAAATTCTGATTTAAAGTTCATACTCTCATAGTGATTATGGATGCAAGTGATCATTAACTTACATTGCTCTGGTCCCGGTAGATGATCTTGATTTCACCAGGAATCCAAAGTATCAAACGTTTAGGTATTAAGAATTGGAATAGAATCAGCTCATCTCTGTTTTCAAGGTTTAACATCAAAATTCACATTTCAATCTAGATTATTTCCCTTAGGGTACCCTGCCTAGAGCAATACCAAAATAGGTGACTGTTTACGGTATAAGTACCTATTAAGATTATTACTTAAATATGATTAGGCCTGAGACCTAGTTGATATTATTGACCTAAAATTGTTCAATTTTTAAAATCTTACCTCCAACTTGCTGAACCACACTTTCTCCGCCAATCTCTTTGTTGAATGTATTCAAATAGTTCTGAATGTCCGTTATAGTCTCCCCAGACACCTCCTGGGAAGACTGTTCCAATTTGATAGTCTGCGACTCAGACATTTTGACAGCCGCTGCGACAAAATAATTAATGTTAAAGTAAGCACTACAATTAAATTACAGTTTAAGACATTTCTTGATATAATTTTCAAACCATTGCAGTTTAAAAGGTCAACTTTACTACTTTACACAGTCCTTAACCTTGTTAGGAGAGACTGGCCAAATGGTTGCGTTCAGGAAATAAGGTAGGCCTTTATAAAACTTGTGATATAAAGCTGTGTATAATATAATTAGTCATTGGAATCCAGTAGGCTAGATAAGTTATAGGGCTACTTTACAAATTACAGTACTTTTAAAACAGTTATGCTGCCATTTCAACTTAAGTACTGTATTAAGAATTTAAGTATTAAAACTTAAGCATAGATGAAACTAGTCCCTTAGTAGATTTCTCATCCTTATGGAACAGCTGAAGCCAATTTTTATTGTTAGTTCTGTCCGGTGCACTGTAGAGGCAATGGTAGAGATCAAGTTTCATGTTACTTCAGTCATTAACCCTCCCGCGGTTTACCGTCGATGCATCGACGCGAGTTCGCGGCCGTAGACGGTTCACCGTCGATCGATCGACGGTAGGCAAGCTTTTAAAAATAGTGTCTAATCGGCGTTATAATTTGCTAAACTTCAACTTATATAGTATCGTTGTACTCTCCAAATTACAAGCTTTCCGCCGATGTCTGTCTTTAGACACCTTGCTCTATGCAAACAACTTTGACTACGTTAAAAGTCTTTGTTGTTGTTTACGCCGATACGCTGTTGGTTATGTTTGTTTACATCTGTTCTTGGTGCTTCTGATGTGCAGACTATTTTATTATTGTGCATTTTAACTATTTTAAGATGGATAGTAGTGACATTCGACGTGCTTTAAGCGAAGTAAGTGACAACGATGATCCAGATGATCCTGAAATCGGAATTGACAGTGATTTTGATGCCGATATTCTCGACTACATTGAACCCGACTCTGACCTTTTAGATTTCTCGAGTGGTAGTGACGATTTTTACAGCCCTCATACAAGTGAATTAGACACTTCAGAAGTAGAAGATTTCACTGTTGAACAACCGACAAATGAACCAGGTAGGCCTACCCCAGAACCTCAAATTGTTACTCGAGATCCATGGGTTAGGGTCTACCCTCCCGAACCAGAAATTGACATAAGAACTGAGTTTAGAGCAAGGCAAACAGGGCCTAAGGACTTACCTCCCAGAAATAGTCCTCCACTAGATTACCTTTCCCTATTTTTGACCGCTCCTTTTTGGCAATTGTTAGCCAGAGAAACTAACTCTTATGCCGAAAGAGTTATCGCTGCAAAGCGAGATACCCTGAGCCCAAAATCACGTTTTAGAAAATGGACAAATGTCACTGTTATCGAATTGAAAAAATTCTTTGCAATTCTAATAAACATGGGCCTAACAGTGAAAAATAATGTCAGACACTACTGGGACACAAGGAGCTCACAATGCTGTCCATTTTATGGCAAGCAAATGACAGTGAACCGCTTTGCCCTGATAAGTTCTTTTTTGCACATGACCTCAGCTCGAGATGTTCCTAGAGACAACCCAAACTATGATCCGTGGTTGAAAGTGAGATGGCTCTTAGACCATGTAAATTCAAGATTCAAGAGACACTTTGTTGCTTCGCAAGATGTTTGTATAGACGAAAGTCTTATAGGTATGAAGAATCGCTGCGCTTTCATACAATACCTACCCAATAAGAAGCATAAGCAGTATGGTATAAAAAAGTTCGAAGCATGCGACAGTAATACAAGCTATGTATTACATATTGAAATATATAGTGGCAAAGACTACCTACCTGCAGATCCTGAAAATTCTGATGAACTGTTCACTGAACGAGTGGTGATGGAGATGATGACAAAAGGCAACCTATTGGACAAAGGTCACCATCTGTACACGGATAATTTCTATACTAAAATTCCGCTTGCTGAACGTTTGCTCGAACGTAGTACATTTATTACTGGTACTATAAATAAGAAATCCAAATTTTTGTCAAAAACGGTAAAGAAAACTAAACTTGGTGAGAGGGAAACTGTTTACTTTCGCAAGGGGAGATTGTTATTGGTCGGCTACAGACAAAAGACAACTCGGAAACCAGTCCTAGTCATCTCAACCGGTTATCATGCTGAAGACGGAATTGTAAGAAGCAAGAAGGGGTTAGTTGGAAGGAAGCCCTTGCTCATCCACAATTACAATCAAAATATGGGTGGAGTGGATGTGAGTGATAAGTGTGTGTATGCCTTATCAATAAACCGACAAACCAGCAAATACTGGAAGAAGATATTCTTCAACTTGATCGATCTTGCCCTGTTCAATGCGTATGTATTATATAAGCTGAACAGTGACAAACCAAAGAGCAGGAGGGAGTTTCATATTTCTGTGTTGGAGTCTCTTGCAGATGCAGGAAATGAACAAGTTGTGCAGCCTGGACCTGGAGGTGACAATCCCCACCGCCTTGAACACTTACCACGGAAACAAGAACTGAAGTGTGTATCATGTGGTAGAGGAAGGTCAAGCTTTTGGTGCCCTGGTTGCAATGCTGGCATCCACAGGGAGTGCTTCCACCAACTGCAACATTATTGGAGGCCCAAAAGAGGGGTGAAGAGAACTCTGGTTGCAGATGACCCCGACTCCGACTAAGCTCCTTGTGCGTAGTTGTGTTCTTTTTTGTATATATGACAGTGTACTTTTTTATTTTAGTGTGTAAAACTATATATTTTCTTTTTCCTCATAAACTTGTGAACAAAATGGCTATTTTGAATTTTTTATTGGTTGCAACCAGTTGTGATTTGTGGGGGAGCAAACTATGTCAGTGATTTTTTTATTTTTCTGCATCTACAGAGGATACACTCAACCAATCCAAGGTAAATAGGTTTATTTATTTTTTTTATTATAGATAATTTAATTTAGAGTAAAATGATATATAATATGTTATAGTTACTATGATTTTTATGTATGACATGAATTTTTCTTTTAAAGTCCGCAAAACCGCCAAAAACTGGTGAACCCTGAGGGTCAAAATAGTGAACCGTGGGAGGGTTAAAAACCTCGTTTAACCAAATAAAACTATCTAATCATAAAGACTAACTCGTCCCATGGATATATAACCAAATAGTAAAGCAGAAATCATGAAATCAACCCTAAAATGATAGAAACAAATTTTTGTCAACACTAGCTATCAGTTTTACCGGACAAAATCTATACCGGTACCTGAAAAACAAGAAAAAGTCTACTTGTAGGCCTATTTGTTAGTCTGTGACTTTAGTGACCATACGTTACAGTTTTTAATGGGAATAAGTTATGCCCACCAACCAAATTTATATAGGTAACGTTAATAGCCTAGTTGTATTTTTTTAGGCATTTTATCTCCAAAACTATATTTTGATTGAATATCCAGATGAGTTGTAAGTAAATCCAGATTATTGGGTTATATTGTAGCCTAACTTACCAAAACTAGCCTAAAAACAACAAAATTGTGTCCATGGCAAGATAGGCTATTGTACCGGTAATGAAAATAAATATTTTGATGTTAATCTACCAATGTACATGTGCTAATTTAAAATGACTTGGCCTACTTACTTGTTATTAACTATAACAGATTATTTACTCTTGCATTCCAACAGACGTCTCTAGCATGCAATGAAAAGTTCTTCTGGAGAGTGCTAAAACAAAATAAGTAGCTTTTAAGTTAGTTGAACTAGTAGTTTGCTAGACATTCATAAAGACAATCCAGCATTTTCATCCAGGTATTTAATCTATCGAACTTTTAATAAATAATAATTTAATAATTTAATTTACTTTTAATAATAATTTTTTTAATTTAATCTATCGAGGTATTTCGACTTGTCGAAAGCCCCATAGGTACAGACTGTCCCTGACGAGAGATAACTTCCGTTGCAGTGCCAATGTTAAATAAGCTGCCGCTGAGACCGCTAGAGATTAAAATATTTAAGGAAAAGATCAAGGAGTTCCTCCTGCAAACCCATGGCATACTACTCCATTCAAGAGTATTTTGAGGAGGCACAAACTCTCGACTGCCCACCGTCATCAAATAAAAGCTACTTTGGATGTTGTTTGGAGCCTAAGTTATGCAACAACAAAGGAGTGTGACTGTTTTCAGTGCTAAATCACAATGTTGCTGACCATACACAATGTGTTACAGTTTGTCATATTTCTCTGCTTGGCACTGTTGTTCTACAACTCACACTAAGTTTAATAATTAACTTAAGTTATCTTACAGCTGTAATCATTTTGTTGTACATCAGTGGCTTTGTTAGGCCTATTGTTTTTGGTGTCAACATGACAACCTAACTTATATTTAAAAAAAAAACAAAAATCTAGGCTAATAAAGCTATTAAATTTTGGCCCTTCCTTTCAATCCAAACCCAAAATCAATTGTTACCCCTTTAGCCTACAGGTTTATGCTGAATTTGGTGTACACCTATAGGCCTAAGTAAGGGACGCTACCTACGTGCAGTTAGACAAAACATACTTTTTTAAATTTGTTATCACTGTCTAACTTGGCATTTTACAAGGAGATAGGAGATAAGTTAACTTATATTAAACAAACAGTTTTAGGACAAGTGGTCCAAATCCAAAAGATGATTTGCGGGAAAACCAGAAATTGAACCAGCCCCTCTGGCACTGATGTTCGATAACCAACACAAGCTTAATAAGTTAATTCATTTATACAAGCAGTGCACCTATTTTGACCAAGCCTATGTTTAATATAGGATACGGAAAGTAAATAAAAGAGACGTCTTATAACACTTAAATCATATATTTACGCTTATACTGTTACTCACAAGACGGTAAATAAACAAAATACCCCCGCTGCAGCAAACCTGCCGACTAAGTGAATTTCCATTTGTCTGACTGGTTTTGAATCAAATCTATTTAAATATCCTAACATTAGGTTTAACGAGTACCTAGGCTTGCTGCTACAAGGAAACTAATAAAGTGTTTTTTAGTAAAATATTAATAAGTTAGCTTAGTATAAAAAGATGGTAAGTTAAGTGGTGATCAATTTCGATTGGACACTCCAATCATCATCAGACCCAATAGGCGAATCTCTCAAATATTAGGAAGTGGGTGGTACTGAAACGACTGTTCTCGTAGGAAAGATTTGAGACCAGTGATCACGTAAGTTACGTCTAAATACAATGCTCTCCTAAATTTAAGTCGAATATCACAGTAAACAACACAGTTTTAAAAAGTTTTTGGGGACATCGGTTTAACCAGAAAACCGTTACAGTATTCGGACAAGAGGGAGTCTACTGTAATTAAAGAGCAACTAAGTTAACTTAAGTTAGAGTCGAAAAATTTTTGCCAAAGAATTGGCACAAAATAGTCAGTGAGTTAGTGTCATGGATGTCGGACGAAGAAGACGCAATCTATGCCATGGCTACATGTGTCATAATAGCCAGCCAACTTGAGTTGAGGTCCACGAGGATATTGGGTGAGACCCTCGTTGATGGCTAGGAACAGTGGCAGTGACATGACATGATGATAGCTGATCTCCGAGAAGATGCCGTTGATCCGCTGGTTGTTAGCTGAGGTGCAAAGGGAGTGTAAAACACTTTCTGAGAATGACCTTGAGGACCTAGGCTAGTAGTGATTTTGAATATTTGACACAAACTACAGGAAAACCACGGGCCCTACATTGTATGCCTAACTTACCTGTCTAAAAAAACCAACAGTTAACTTAGGCATACACTAAGTTAAGTTACGTTTTTGGGCAACAGGAGATTCATTCACAAATCTCAGTTTCCGTTCTTATTTATTTTACTTAAGTAAATCATAGGCCTACATGTATGTAAGGGGAACATTTGTCCACTATGTTTTCCACAAGTTGCTTGCGTAGCCTAATGAGCGTAGCCAGCCACCGGTAAACTTAGTCTTCCACTTTTTTGTTGTCAACTTTCTTTGATCTTTACCGACACTCCGCGGGAAACCAAACTTAAGTGGAAGACTTGTCTCTCCACTAAGTTAGTAAGTTAGACGATAGTGTCACATTATTTTGTAGAAAAAACAGCTAAATTAAGTTACTTACCGCAACTAGTGCAAAACTTAAGTTAGTAGAAACGCAGCTTTAGGTGTAGGCCAACATTAACACCCTTATCTTTTATGCTCTACCTTTTCGTTTGGAAGACCTAAGTTAAGTAACTTAGGTCTTCTAGGTAGTCTATTCTTGTAGCAGTCTATTCTAGTAGCATCTTGTTGCATGTAAATCTTGTCAATGATTGTATTGTAAAATGGCGATTTCCGTCGAAATGAATAAATAAATAAATATTGCCACTGTAAACTTAACTTAGTAAGCTAGCCTAATTAATTTTAAATCACTTAAGTTACTTATTCAAACTTTAAGCCTAGGGGCTACAGAGGCTCTAAATCACCTAATAACAACATGCTTTGTACAAGGCTACGTTTTCATAAAACAAAGCATATTGATTATTGAAAAAGTAAGTTCGAGTCAGGTACAGGGTTAACTTAGTCTAGGCTATTAACTAACTGAAGTTTTTAATTAGGTACGTCAATAAAAACCTATTCGAGGTTAACTATGCAAGTTACTTCTACCCCTAATTAAGATCAAAACATATACTGTAAATAGCTGCTACTATTTTGTCTAATACCTTCAACAGGAACGATCTTACATTATTCCCAATCTCGGCCCAAATTTACTAAGTTAACTTAAAGTTAATCTTAACAGAGGAAAAGGTATAAAAAATAAAATGTCTTCAGTTAATAGTTTTGTCATTATATCCGTAGCCTAAGAAGCAGGAAACATTAAAGAATTAGTGTAGTAGTACGCTATCTGGTGGGAATAAATAGAATTCCTACTTACAATTTCAGAATACAGGGGGCATCAAAGGCGAAAATTTCAAGAAATTGGCACCGTCCGCGCTGTCATCATAATGGCTACCACTCTCGAGCTGGGCTGTTACCTTCTATAGGTGGCTTGAGAAGGCAGAATATTGTACAATTACCTCTTTGTTGAGGAGTTGTAAGTGTATTTGGTGAAATTAACTTTAAATAATCAATTTTCACAAATTGTAACGACTCCCGTGCACTCAAAACTGGAATTACCTTTAATTCAAAATCCGACGTTTGAGGGCGTTGGTGTAGCGATCACTTGCAGAAGAGAGGAGAGAGGGAACAAATCGAACGAAGATGCCAATATGGCGGCTCACTCAGTCGTGTTTCCCTGTAAAAACAGCCAACCAGAGGAGCTTGCGCAATGGGAGATGGAGATAGGAATTTCTTGTTATTTTCTGTTTTAAAACATGCGTATCAAGCTAGCGAGACAAATATAAATGATTGATTGATATAGATAGATCTATCATTTCGCTTCCCTATAACTAGTTGCATGAGTTTAACAAATAATTTTACTGATACTGCTTATTTCTCACGAGTAAACCTTAGAACTTGTACACACATAGTAAAATAACATTAAAAAAAATATATTATAGCTTAGCTATGATCAGGTAATACTTTATTTGCTTATATAACCAAGCAGAGCCTGAAAAAATTTGATACTGTCCATTCCATAAAAGATTGTAGTGGACTATAATAACAAAACCATGTATCTGGCTGTATGTATTTTGGCTGTTTTTTTGACAATGCCTATTGTATATTTGTAAATACTGAATGGCTAAATAAATCATTTATCATTTATCAACCCCTGCCACAATTGGATTATCACTAAAATATTCATTCCTTAATAAATTGTCACATAATATTTACCTATTTTATTAAGATTTTAATTTTTTTTATTAAAGGTTTGCTGCTACAGGGAAAGTAATTAAATAAAGGTACAGTACTTATATATTGAAATAGTTTGGTATGAAATAAACAAATTTACCAGATTTGATCAAAATACATCCCTAAACAAGCAAACTTAACAGTTCATTTATCCTCCAAGAATAATACGGGGATTTTAAATTTCGTTTTTTATTTCTCCTATGAACATTTACATAGGTGTAACACTTCAATGAATTAATTATTTTTTTAAGCTCCACAAAAAAGTTATCTAGTTTAAACCGAATTCCATTTTCAGATGATTTTTTTTACCTTTTTTACTCAGTCAAGCATCCCCTGGCGCAACCGAATGCAAGGGTTTGCAAGATTTCTGTTTTCACCTGCTACATTGAAGGTAGAATCAAAGTTAAAGTCTCATATATTAAAGAGGATGAAATTTTCTATAGTTCTTTGTTTCTATATTTCAATTATTTTAAATACACGCACCTTATAAACTTGAGTTGTAGTACAAGAAAAAAGGGTCTTTTCAACTAGCCTTAAATTATAAAAAAAAGTTTTTTGAACATTTGAAAAACGCAGAACTATAGATTGGTCTTTGTACTACTATAAGCCGTTTAGAGTGCGTAGCTATCATTATTTGTTAATTCTAAAACAGTAATCTTGGAAACGTCTGCAAGCGCTTCTCGCAGCGCTGTCCAATGGTGAAACATAGCTACTGAAGCCCGAGCTGAGGTAAAGCGCACCCTTAAAGGACATATCTTGAATTTGAACGGATGGAGTTTTTGGCCTGTGACATCCACTCAAAATTAAAAAGTAAATCTGTCAGTGGTGGTCTAGGTCTTGAGACCTAAATGTCTGATTCCCTATGTGGGAAAGTCGCCATGTCACTAGATGTTCTCTTTGGACTGTCTATAAAAATTAAATTACTAGATTGATTATTGCCTTGCAACAATTGTTGTTAATATAAATTAAACTAATCAAAATGGTAAAATTATAAAATTTTTAGTAGTGGATATTTGAAGTTAAATTCATTTTCCAAGTATTAAACTATCTATTAATTGACAAAGAAAAGGCTGAGGACAGAGACAAATGGAGGCGAGTGTACACTATTACACTATGGCGAGAGTAACTATTTGTTCTTTTATAGTGGCAAAAAACTACAAAATGTTTATACCAATACGGTACTGTATAAATTAATCTGCCACTCACCTAAACAATCTAAAAAAAACTATGTAAACTTTTTTTCTGAAGAAGTTTGTTTAAAAAAATGTATGAAGAACTTAGAATGAAAACCACCAGTAAATGAATCATGAAATATAGAAAAGCCTTACTTATCAAGTAGCCACTCCCTTATTTTTATTTTGAACACTTTCAAAATGTCTTTTGATGAGGTCTTATAAGACTTTTTCCCAAGGGAGAATGTTTTATTATGTTATTCTTTGGATTAAATAGTTTTAGTTTAGTCTTGGGTGGCCAGTTTTATTAAATTTATGTATGGCTTGTTTCCATCCATAAACAAGCTAATAATGTGACAATTTAAAATTGAAAGGTTGAGTGGATGAATGGGGCAAGTAACAATTTTGTAAAAATTGAGTTTAGCGATGCATGGATGAAGGGTGTAAGTGATGCTCTATTTAGTAGGTACACTGATGACTCTCATAACTTAGTCCTAAGTGTATGTTGTGTATTTCAATAAGTGGGATTTGAGAAGGATTTCAATCACAGAGCAGAAAAAAATGGTTATTTTCTGCTCTATAGCTATCATTCAGTGCGAATGGTCGCTAGTATATTAATAGTTTCTTAAGTACTTTGTTGGTACTAACATAATTGGGGTGTCATTTTAAACAGTATAAAATAGGTTTACGTAACTTACGTTGTCAATCCTAGAATAATAAAAATTTCAGGCGACTATTTTAACACGCACAACGAACACGAGTCAACTACCGACTGCCAATAACTGTCATTTTAAAGCTTTCATCTTCCTCTACATCGAAAACATATACAATTTACTCACATTAAAGGAGTTTCTTGAAACAATCTATTTATTTAATCATTTCCAATGTAAGGTTATCAATGAAATAGGAATCAATTAACTCAATATCAAACAATTTTATTCACGAGCCATTTTGTGCAAAAACATTTATGCCTACTACTGTACAAAAATGAATGGTTATGATGTGACAAAGTTGTTATTATCAGGAAACAGATTATCTCATTTCGGATTCAGTTCTGTACCAAGGAACATAAGGTATCTGTTGTATCTATTAGAATTTTTTAAAACATTACGCCCTTCAGGTTCGTCACATCATGAATCCACGTTAAAAATAACGCTATTATTATTGTTATGTTATTATTAAGTTGATCAGAAACCAAAACACCAAGCATAGCAAAAGATTGGTGTAGCTCACTTGGGCAATTACACTATCATAGCGAAGTTGTGTGACTGCGGTCAAACACATATTCAGTTGTTTGTGGTGTTGTCAAGGGTGCGCTTTTTTAGTGAAAACTATTTCTGTGTAAGAACAAAGCCATGAACACAAAAACTGTATTCGGCCATAACATCACTTCAAACATCAGTTCAAAGAAGTCCTGTAAACATGTAAATATTTTAATAACATGACTGCGTCCTGAAAAGGCGATCCAAATATAATATTATTATAATATAATAGGTAATATAATAATATTATAATATAATAGGTAATATAATATTTAAATATATAAAAGTAGAGGGAACCTTTCTTTTTCTTTACAATATAAACCCACATTTATTCTTAAAGTAAGGACTCATACCTAAATTAACGACTACCAACTACACAGCTTTAAGTGTATGTTCTATACTTCAATTAAGTGGGATTCGTGGATACAGTGCGAATGCTTCGCACAGGTCAGCTAGTTACAACATAATTCACTTTCATTAAATGTGAACAATTGGAAACACAAATAATAAGGTGTTGACAAATTAAAGACTCACTGCAAGATGTAACAAACATTATTTATTTATATTACATAACTAAAAAATAACAGTTTCACTACACTGTAGTAAAGACAAAATACAAAATATTTAAACATATTTCTGGCGATCAAATTTAAAATTTAACAGACTATTTTATCTAAATTATATCTTCATTTACCACACTTGGGAGATAAGGCAGCTTCCTTGAACTGTAAATGGAGAGGAAGTGTGCCAAAGTCATCCATTCGTGTCTGCAGTTTTCCACTTTTTAATTTTAAAATTGGTAAAATATACTTGCTGTTAAAAAAACAAAGATTAACCTTAATTATTGAAATAAAGATGATAAAAACCCATCTTCTACAATCAATCTAACATTAATAAATTATAGCTATGTTAGCACCAGTTTAAGAAACTGTACAAAAGCTAACTTTGTACATTCATGTTTGGTGCATTAAAATGATTCTGCTGTATAGGTTACGGATTGTAATATACAAACTTATAAATTTGATTGTATTCAAACCTTGGAACTGTGTAAGTGGGAAGAACTAACTAAACAAATAAACAAACCACCATCTTTGGCATTCTGATTTTCTCATCAAATTTAAATCAAATACTGTAGCGGTATTTCAAATCAAAGCGATTTTCTCAATCAAAGATGTTCTGATTCTAATTTTGGGACAGAAAGTGCTTGTTTTTACCTGAGTAAGATGGGATATATATTTACAGAATGGACTAAGGACACCACGGGACTTTAACAAATTTTTATAAAAATAAAAAATGTTGAATCAATGTTTTTTTAGAGAGGGGGAAATGAACTACCATTACCATTTTCCAATAAATCCCTAATAGATTTTTATTAAAAAATCAAGGTTTTCGTTAATCAAAACAAGATTTGAAGGCAAAAAATTAATGATCATCTTAGAAATGGTTATGCCAAGTAGAACAGAAACATGTAATTTTATGTATCTTTAACAAAAGGCACAATCCAAAGCCCCTAAAAAAGCAACCCCTCAATGATATCCAAAATTACTCTATTATTATTGGAAGAATCAATTTGGTAACCTAACAACTGAGGTCACCCTCCAGCAACATTTTGAAGCCAACCCCTGTAACAATGATGGTTAGTGTGTAATTAAAGCCACCTTTCCGTTAAACACCCTCAAAACCTGCATTGGATCATGATAAAAGCAACTAAATGGTAAAAGCTGTTAGATATAAGACATGCAAATGATGTTTTGAAGCAGTAACTTGAAATCAGCGGGAGGGCTGAATCAAAGTACTCTTGTATCAACACCACATGTACATTATGTTATCTTGATGGAGTATAATCGTCTTCAAAACTGAAACAAAGACATTTTAAAAATCTATTCTTTATGTGTACAAAAATTCATCAATGATTTTCATTTATCTCTAGAATTTGAATGCTAGAGTATTACTATATTACACCAAAACTTGATACACTTCTTATCTTCAAAACATTAGTTGTTCACAGGAATAAAAAGGATATATTGCTGCAGATTAAATGGCTAACTATATAGCATATCACACCATTAGGACCTAAAGTATCTCTTTTTGACACAAGCTCAAGTTTTTAATTTGAGCGAGGATTGAAAATACACTATTGGCCCACTTAGTTAAGGACATTTTTTGTCATACTGCATTCCTTAGAGTAACTAATTCACAAATTTAATTCATTCTGGTATATTTTTTTCAAGGAACAATCAATTTTATTCTTTTAGTAATTGTGTATAATTTTAATTTAGTCATTAGTAACCAACAAAACAAGAATAAAACTAATTCACAAAACTCAAATAATTATATTGATAGAAAAAAATATACAACATAGCTATTTAATTTTTAAAATATCAGTTAACTTCTTGGATTTTGACATTTTACAACACAAAAACCTCATCAGAAAATGACTTGGGTAGTATTCTCCAAAGATATGTAGCATAATATGCTATAGCTATTATTCTAAATATAGCATAATACTAATATTATTAGTAATGCAATACTGATCAATTTATATCTTACAAACAAAATTACTAAATGAGCAGAATACATTGTAGATAAACAAATTAAAATGTCTCAAATATAGCTTATCTAAAGGCCGGGTTTCCTAGCTGCTGATTTTGGTATGAGCGGAATTACTGGAAGGCAAGTAAAAAAATGCCAGTTAAAAATTAGTTTAGCATATCTATGTATTGCTTTTTACTTTGCAAATTCATGTCATTGGCAGCACCTGGCCAATAATAATGCTTTGTGGATGATACAGCTAGAGTACTACATTTACCGATCGCTGGACCCGCAAAGAGTTTTCCTTCAGCTAGGAAAATGTATGTACTTGACCCTTGTATGTTCAGTTTATGTCAAAATTGGCAGCTAGAAAAATCTGCCGCAAGCATCATTTTGATGAAAAATAATACTAAACAGTAAACTGTCTTTATAATAAACTGATTATAAACAATTTAACTATACTAAAAGGCAGGTATAAAACAGAAAGATCTATTGATGTATTTACACCAGAGTTACGTGTTTTGAATAAAATTTGACAAAAATCCAAAGAACAATAGTTTTTGTTAAAAACATTTATTTTGTGTGTTTATCCAGGTTTTCAGTGTTTACCACGGATATTTTTACACAAGAAATTGTAAATTGTAAGCTGTGTTTGTAACAAAATGTTTAAACCATTTTCTACAACGGCTCAAGTTATCAACATATGTGTTATAAACTCTGCATTAATTTTTCATACACTGAATCGTTTTGTATATATTTACCTCGTAAACTAGTTTTTTTTATTATTTATCTTTTCTTGTAATCAAAATTATGTGTACAATGTATATTATTTTCCCTTTTTAAAAGTAGCCTAAATTTATTGTTTTATTGTGCGGATGATGGACTCAATCCCCAACCACAGGCATTAGCCCATTTGGGGATTACATTTCAGTAATTGTGTTTGTACCATTGTAACTGATGTACTGTAATGAAATAAAAAGGATTCATTCATTCATTCATTCATTCATATGTAAGCACAACTCAAAACAATGTCAATATTTTAGTTGAATCAAGCTTTTTCAAATCATGTTTGGTTTATCTATAGTCTCCGATTGTTTCTGTCCTAAATAGTTAAAAACTTAACTAAGTGGATCAACACAGGCCAAAACCTTGTGAATTCCATTAAATCTTTCCTTCAAATTTACATTTCATTGTTGAAATTAAGAATTGAATTAAACTTTTTAAAAGTAACGAATATTTTTTACTTCTACAAAAATTGTTTCCGGTCAACATTGTTGTTACTCAGTTATTCTGTTTAAATTAATGTTACATCAAATATGACATTTTGGTACATTTCATTTAGTAAATTTGCATTTTTGGCATTTTCAGAGTTTTGGATTTGCTCTATTAGGTTATACTGTATGCGGGTATAAACAATCAATAGAAGAGGGAATTAAATTTGATTCAGTTTTATAGTCAGATTATTTGAAAAAAAAACAACATATTAATGTTTTGTGTTCTTTTATTGTGTATCTATTAGTCCCTGAACCCTAACTTTCTTAGGAAGACTAGCTGAACTCTACTCCTTTTCAAAAAATTCCTTACTAGCACATTGGCTTTCATTTGAAATACATTAGTGGTCTATGAAAGATATGAAGTAGAAACATACATATTGAACGCAAATCAAACAAATGTTATGTTTTATATAAGATCGTTGAAAAATTGTATTTTAGACACATTGCAGGAAAAGCTGTTTGACCCATATCACAGTTAAAAACTACATCCCTTTATCTGTTTAGCTCTTAGTTAAATTCAAATCAGACATTACTAATTGGCAAGTTATCTCCCACAAAATTAAATAACAAACAAGCACTACTACTCTATTCATTTTCAATCTACAAAATCCCTGACACATTTTTTCAATATCAATACACACACATTATGTTCAATTTGTAGACTCAGCTTATCCTACTTTTGAAGGTATTAACTAGGCTACCTTCGTTTTGTCCACACACGGGAAGAATGAGCGTGCACCTAGTTAAATAATACTCATTGTAAGGGAATAATAATTTTAACTATGTACAGTAAATAACGACAGAACACCAGGGTCCCGATGTTCCGATTTTCGTTAACACAAACGTTCTAATTTGAAAAATCTGCTTCCTGTAAGAACTCGAAGCTCTGTGTAAAAACCAATTACAGAGATTTCCACAATCACTGAATGCAATTATGGTGCTACAGGAAATTATCACGTGGTTGCCATGATCGCAAAAGAATAGGGAATGATCACCGTGTTGTGATCGTGAGAGCATTCTACGGCAATTTAATCACAAAGATAGATAGTTTCTTTTTATGCTCTTACTGCATTTCAGTCTAATCCAATCAAATTAGTAATTCAAAAAGGAAACAGGTTCCGGTTCCAATTAGTTTGTGTTATTGGGACACTGGTGCATTAGTTAACTAGAATAACAGTCTTGTGTTAGTGCTGTTACCATAATCTGTAATGCTAAAAATACCATTACCATTTAAACTAATATACAAAAAATAAGTTGATATATAGAAAGCGTTCAGACTAAAACTAATTGAAATACAAAAATGAAAAACAACAGTCTCGCCACAAAACAGTCTCAAAATATCCTATTCTAAATTTGAAGGAGTTGTATTATTTACTTGACAGTGGTTAGCATAAATTTTAACCCCTTTGGAGAAAATTGTTTAAAGTCAAAACTAATATCAATTTAAACGACATTTTGTCTAACTCCTACAGGCAACAAACAATTCAATTTGAAAACATAGGAATTCGGAATATTATTGACTGTTGTTTTGAGGCTTCTCCATTATTTAGCCTACCTTGATTCCAAACTGCAGCGTTTCGCTCAGTTTTTATAAGGGCCAAGATTAACTTATCAACTTGTATTTCCCTTGCCTGTGCTTGTATACATAAATGTTTTTTTTTAACTTGCATACAACACCTATATGCAATAACGTTGATTTATTTTTTATTATTTTTAACACTCTTGCTTTCAACAACAAAAATTTCAAACTTAACAAGTTTTATCTAGAAAGAGAGCTTTAGAAAAAAACTATAACAAATAGTAAGGAATCATAATGGTAACATTGTATTGCCAAAGCTTATATCCATCACTATTCACTAAATATTAGGCCTTAGGCCTTAGAAGTAGGCCTAGTGTTACAACACAAATCATACTAGGAATTTATATTATAAATATACAGATTTGTTTGTAACAAAATTGCTAGAATATTGCAATATTCCAAATTTTAAGAAGTGTTCATTAACATAGAACCCAGTACTATGTTGGTTTTTAGTTTCTGTTTTCAAATATTCCTTTCTGGTAACAACAGTTTTTACAAACCATTCTCCAGTTTTATAAATTCTTTCTAAACAATTACTGTTTAGTTCGATCCTACTTAAATCAATATATTAGTTTATAATGGATTTAAAAGGAAATCAGCTTTTGTGACCGTTGGAGAAAAAAACAAAAAAAAACAAGAAACCATTAACTGAACACTGAAAACCTAACGGTTCCGTCCTTCACAAAAACTACTACTATCTTGATAGATCTCTGGTATCTACGTCAATAATACTACTATTGATATAATGACCTAACTATGTAAATACTTCTTCTTGTTGTTCCCAAAATAATTCTAGCTTTCTATTTATGAAGATGCTCAGGTAGGTGTATCATAGAGGTATTTTATAAAAAAAAAATTTCAAACAGTCATTTACATACGTTAAAATCTCTAAATAATCGTGTATGAATTTGAAAGCCACACAAAGCAACGGTCAATAAATATGTTATTATTTTTATTTTTACAGATAAACTTTGTACTATATCTCTACAGAGTCATAAAATATTTAACTAGGTAGGCTACTCAATATTTATTTGATAATAAATTTTTTTAAATTTTATAATAGCCGAGCATTGGGAGTTTCACCACTACCATATTTCAAAATTGCTTTTGGCAAAGACATAGAAACCACTAGCTTTTATAACGATCATTAGTAATTTTAATAATTATATTGCAATAGGCTTTATTGAATAATCCTTACAAGACAAACTGTGATGCAATTAAATTTACCCACCATTATTTAGAGATTCATATATTACATTGAATACTGGTGTATACTTACAGCAATGTAATACTGAATACTGAATTTGTCGGTAGAAAGTAGAAAAGTACAAGATCTCAAGTAAAAAATGAATAGTATAAAAATGTGAAGGTTGCAGACTTCCTGATGGATGTAAGACCTCATTTCTTTAACAAAGAAGTGTTCAAACAGTAAATTCAGGTTGAAAGCAAACACGAACTAGGGCTTTTGGAGATTCCCATACCACCAAGACTCTTAGAATTTTTGAGTTTGTAAATAAAATATCATCATTATCAAAGGTGGTTTGTGGGACTTTGGAATTCAAATTAACTTTTTACTTGAGGAATATATTATAGTATACATACCAGAATTTCCGTCCCAGCTCTGACTAGTCCTTTATAATGGCTCAACAAGAGGCGAAACCCGGGTCATCCAGTGTAAGGGACGAGTCAGAACTGTGACGGAAATTCTGGTATGTAGGCCTATATTAGATAAAAAGGCTCTGTTGGCCAATGACAATGAATTAATTATGAAGAGGTGGCAGAAAAGTAAAAAATATCTTGTTTTACTCCTTTGAAAGTGCCTCTTTGAGTCTGGTGGAGTTGTATTTTTTTTTTCTTGCCTACACACTTGCCATTTTTAGATGATTTTTGGGAAAGCGGTCTAAACCAATATGCTTAAACAAAGTTTAAAGACGTCATTTATATAATCAACAAATTTGTATACATTAACAATAAATTAATAATAAAATTTCACCACTGTTCTTCTTAAGAAGACTTACTAGCAATGATTAACCTTAAAATATCAAGGTTTGATTTAAAGTTAGTTTTTGAGAGGAAACAGATCTATTTTAATGGGAAGAGTCCTCTCTGACACAAGAAACATAAAACTAAAGAGTGTTTTAAAAATAGAAAATTTTCTTTTTGCTATACTTCTTTGAACATCTCGTAGTTAGAGAATTAAAGTTTTTCGATTTCTAACGATATCACAATAATATAAAAAATATAATTACAGCTGGTATATGTTTCACAGTTCGTCTTGGTCCGTAGGCGGAGGTATGGGAGCGTAGCAGGTTGATGGCGGGGTGTCGGAGACTTGCGGCAGCTTGTATATGATGTACATGAGTGCCCCCGCCACAACCAGTAGCAATAGGATGGTCAACATGTGCAGACTTCGGAGATCTCCCTCTAGCTTGTTGTAGCAGTGGGTCAAGTGATTCAGCTACACTCAGTCAACAAAATGTTAGATAGATAACTTGTGAAAAAGTACAAATGTAGCTATCCAGTATATCAACACACTTCTACTCTAATTTAAAATGAACTTTGGACAAAAAATCTGTGTGATACGTAAAACCAATACTGAACACCTTGTGTAGGAGAGAGGGCCCACATCTACTTTTTATTTTTTATTTGTGTTTCTATACCATTGGCATTTTTTACGTTTTTATAAGGGGTCCAAACTCTGGTCTTGTTACTGTCTAATGCCAACCATTTGTTGGCCTAATTGATTGACAGCCCAATGACAAATGGCATCTGGAACTAATGGAATTGGAACCAGCAACCTTCAGATTTGAAAACCACTTGGTTACCCAGATGATTTCAAATTTGTCATATCATAAGGCTAATTTAATAAACCAAAGCCGTTCAGGGTGAGAAGCATGGTTGAGTAATAGGAAACTTATTGCACCCAAACTAAACTAGTCCGTAAAATTGACTAGGGCATATACATAACTTCCGAGCATATTCACGCTACACTTTTATCCTGATCACCTTTTGAAAACTTTGAAAAGGGGCCCTGTGATCTGTTTCATCAACCCTAGAGTTCTGAAGTTCCTAGGCATTAAGAAACCTATTAGTTCTCCCTACATTCGCCCCCCCTCCATCCCAAACCCCCTTTACTTGGCACAGTCTTTAGGCCCCCGGATAAATTCTGGTAGTTTTATGGCTCTGCTTAGTAACAATATACGAGCCCTCACTCCAATGCCCACTATTTGTGCTGGGGAAACCTCTTCAGAAACAAAACACGGAAGGGAATAAAATAAATACAAATAATATTTCCAGGGAGTTTGTATACACCCTGTAGGCTATGTATATGAATTTGAATGGGTGGTGTTTTTGTCTTTTGGGGATACAAAAACAAAATACCCCCGCCGCAGCAAACCTGCCGACTAAGCGAATTTCCATTTGTCTGAATTGATTTTCAGTTAAATATATTTTAATAACATTAGGTTTAACGAGTACCTAGGTTTGCTGCTACAAGGAAACTAATAAAGTGTGTTTTTGAGTAAAATATTGATAGCTTAGTACAAAATAAATAAATTTGCCAAGTTTGATCAAAATATATCCACAAACAAGCAAACTACAACATTTGACAATATTTTCCATAAGAATAACATGGGAATTTTAAATTTACAATTTTTTTAATTTTCACCGTTACTAATAATCGAACAAAAATACTTTTATATACTAAATTATTTGTTTTTTTAAGCTCTTTAATAAGGTCTAAAGAGAAATCGGGAAATTTTGTGTTTTGAGGGTCAAAAGTGAGAAAAACCAATTTTTACCCCATAAAACCCCCCGTAAAGCCCCGTTCCCATGGTCCGATGGTGCTGGTTCGCGAACTCATTCAAGTTTATCCCGCTTTACACCTTTAAACCAAATTTCATCAAAATCGGACAAAAATTACTCAAGTTATCGCGTTCACGGACGTATATATATATATATGTCTATATATATATATATATATATATACATATATAAAAATTTGAACGAATGGTGTTTTTGGCCTCTGGGGACATCAAAATGAAAAAGTAAATCGGTCCCGAGTCTAGGTCTTACCGTGCCACCTACGGTAATAGCTACTTCCCTATAGGGAAATTCGCTAAAAATCAGTCCCAGGTCAAGGTCTTACCATGAGACCTACAGTAAAAACTTTAACTTATATGGGAAACTTGATCAAAGATAAATCATCCAATATAATTCTGTAATTTCCACCCAAGCTGTCTATTACCCAAGTCCTCTCTATTAACTTTCATCAACACAGTTACCAATTTTCTCAAAGTTAAACACTAGAACTGATAAGTAAAATTTACTTTGAAACTCTTGTAGAAAGGTGGTTTACTGACCACAAAGCTAACACTGTAGGAGAATTTTAAATCTTTAGAACATGTAACCACACCCATAGCTAATATTGTTACCTCGAAACCTACCCCTATAAGGAGCTGGTTTATTTTTTGTTCGTTATCGCCAGGCGGGCCGTGTGCCAAGGACGAGTAGACGGTTCCGTTCTGCGCCGGAGAGGTTGTTTGTCCACTCAGAGCACAGCGAAGTCTGTGCTGATCCACAATCTTGGTATCTGCAGCCTATCAGAAATATAAAGTTAATCATTGATTGCAGAATATATTCCTTAATACAGTTGTTGATCAACAATCTAACACTGATAGGACTGAATGGTTGTTGGAATACTAAAAAGAATGGGATTAGTAAAAAACAATAAAATTAATTTATAAGATGGGAAAGGCTTTACTATGTACATTTATATACTACAAGAGTAAAAAATAAATCTACAATTATACGTATTATTTTATCAGAATTAATGTCTATATAATCTTAACACAAAAAAATTTCAAACCTGTATAGACATAACTTTTAAAACTAGCTTTTGAAACAAAAACTTCAGTACAATAGAACTTCAGATAAATTGGGATGGTTACATTTTTCATGAAAAATTATATAAGAAAAAGACTCATTGTTTGACGTCACTGACACTAAAATATACCTGCTGCATGATGGACACGATTGGCACACAGTCAAATATAATATATAATAGCTTCAAAAGAGCAAACTGGCAAACATATTTTTCTGGCTTCATTTATTTATTTTTATCCTTGAGGTGATAATCGAAGTCCAGATAATTGCAGTGTTCCCAAACTGATTTCAACAGTCTAAATTGAATTCACCAATCCTACCTTCCAGAGCTCCGCTAGTTCCGTTGTAGACGTGAGCGCTTCCTCCAGTACGAAGCTCATGACCAAGAACTTGTCCTTGAGTAGAGAGTACGGCGCGTGGCCGGGCTGTAGCACCACACACACCGTGGTGGAGTTGCTAGGGTGAAGCACTCCAGCGCTCGGCCGCACCCGGAACTTGTCTGGCGAGGTAGTCTTTATCTGGAGGGAAAGTTTGAAATTTACCTCACACTCTAGTTATGCGTACTAGAAAGTCTAAGAAATGTTCTTTACAAAATATTCATTTAGTTTTTTCTCTTTCTTCAGTCATATCTGTTAAAATTTGACTCATAATTGTCTTTAAAACTATACGGTTTACCTCCAAGCTGAGGTAACGTAGGATATATCCCTCACCAAACCGCAGATTGATGGCTAACCACCAGTAGTTATATTTAAAACATGTGGATGTTAGATGTTTGTGTTAAAACTTTTCACAACAAAATAATTAATTGACCCTTTTCTAGGTAAAGATGAATATTCTTTTAGCTTTGGAACTGTACCTTGTATGTTAACGTCTTGTCACTTATGTTCATGAGGTTGACGGTTCCTGTCAGATCGGCCCCGTCCTGGCTGAAGACAACAGTGTCTGCTGGACTTACTCGCAGTTTACTCACTGTAAATGTGCAGAACAATGACATAAACAAATAACCTCTGTCAAACTAAACTGTTCTATTTCTACACTAAATGTTTTGTAGGATGATTACTTGTTCTTTCACCAACAAACATTCATATGCAAGCAAAGTCAATTTTGTACTCTAAATATTTGCAAAGAACAAAAAACACCGGAAATGTTTAAATCCAACAACAAAGAGGTTTCAAAACGAGGTAATGTTCGGTAAAGCTGTAATGTTCTGGCAAGAATGAGCTTGATTTAGATCTGCACAAACCAATCTCACAGTAAAACCTGTATATTCTTGGATTAGCACTATGCCAGTTAAATGTTTAGAGCAATAACAGAAATCGCTATATTAGTTGCTACAGTTTGGAAAATTTACAATGATTTTGGAAATAAATAAACAGTGAGCACGTAAATAACACATTACAGTACTTAGTTTAATTTGATTTACAATGTCTATTAAAATATTTTTTTAAATATTTAAAATAAGGGTACTATGGTTAATTATTTCTATGAACACTAAAACAGTAGACCTAAAAGTGAACATTACCTCATAATATATATACATATACTGTAAATTGTAAAAAAAACCGCAGCCCAACCTACGGTTAAAATATTGAGATATAACATGAATGTATTCAAATGTGAATTTTAACTAAATTACTTTCAATATTTATTATAGTAGAATTAAAAGTAAAAGAGTATTTGAGACAGCAGTGCTTCGGCTGTGTTCGGGTTCGCTCGGGACGAGTCGGCTACTCTGAGTTACAGTGTTGCCAAGTTGTTCAGTCTGCGTACTCTGCGACTGCCTCGCCTCTCTAGCACCGCATTACACTGTGCGGCTCATCGTAACATGATGATGTCTTAATTTACTTCTTTCTTAACATGGAGAGCTATACTACTCAGGTGAAAGAGTTTCGAGATGTGACAGATATTACAATTTTTTACATTATTAATTTATCAATTTAATATGGGACAATAAGGTAAAATCCATATATAAAGCCCAAAGTATCCATGAACTTTTGAGTAAACTACAAGTCTCACCCCCATAAACCATATACTTAATATGTTCGTCATGACGAGAAACCTTGCGCAAAACTATCCATTAGTTCATAAATTGCCCTTTAAGGTCGTAATTGCTTTCCAAAGGAAAATTTCCATATACCTAAGTTAAAAATACCTCAGCTGTACTTATTTGTATGTTATTCCTTCAACTTATTACCTTATAAAAATTATGTTTCATAATTTGTTTGTACAGTATTACTGTATTCTGTTTGGTTTATTTCAGATCAACTTAACCAATTAATATTTTTACTACTTATACTGTTTATAACCATAGTGAAGCACTATTTTTTCCTTCTCCCTGTTGTGTAGCAGGGTTAAGATCAGCTATTATAATATTTAAAAAAATATATTTTTAAATACAACAAATATAATTGAGGTTACTTTAAATCAAGTCTAATTAGCTCAATGTAATTACATATGTATTCCTCATCATCAAAACCATGATTTAAAATCTGTATTATTATTATTATTGCAGCTACAGCTAGGGAGATAAATTAATATATACATTAAATGGTGGAACAATAATTTTAATGTTAGCCTATAAAGTAATACATGGATGAAACAAAATCTATTTACATTATATAACAAAGTTTATATGGGAAACATTCTTGATAAGTAATACAAATACTTTAGTATTCCTCAAAGCCTATTACTCTTTCTTCAATCGGTGATAAGGGGAGAACATCACTAAAGTCACTGTCGGTTCCATCTACTTCATTTAAATTGTTCCAATTGTCTTCTTCACTAATTCCATCTACTTCATTTACATTGTTCCGATTCTCTTCTTCACTAATTCCATCAACTTCATTGTCACTGTTCCAGATCTCTTCTTCACTCGAGCTATCATCTTCTCCATTGATGTTTATTATCATTTGCTCAACAGCATTTTCCATCAACCCCTCATTCGTCCAAGCTTCTAATATTACGTTCTTCGTATGATCTACTACTTTCTTCCAGTCAGACCCTTTAACATTCTCTATGGCTTCTTTAGTTAAGTGGTCTACTTCTGTAATTGTGAACTTTTTGTTGTTCGTAGCAACATAGCCTTTTATTTGAGCCCAAATCAACTCGATTGGGTTAAAATGACAATGGTACGGTGGCAAACGAAGAACTCGATGGCCATGCTCCTTTGCCATTTCATCAACTTCATATCGTGTTGGAGGTTTGTTAATTTTCACTAACTCCAGTAATTCTGCTTTCAACATGTCATTTGTTACAGAAATATCATGATTTCTTAGCCACGCAATTATTTCCTCCTTTCTTGAGTTAGAATTAGGAGGTTTATCAACTATTTTTGAGTGGTACTTGGCATTGTCCATGACGATAATAGATGGTCCACTCAAGTTTGGTATTAATGGTTCTTGAAAACACTGCAAAAACACACCATGATTCATTTCTTCATGGTATTCATTTGTCTTCTTGGAAGTGAACAATAATAAACAATTCGGAATGAAACCATGAGAGCATCCTGCGTGCAGAAGTATAATTCTTCCTCCTTTTCCAACAGGGGCAGGGAAAGTTCCCTCAACAGAGTCGTCAGTCCAACCTTTCTTTTGACAGTGGCCAGCGTTCACCCAAGTTTCGTCCAGCCAAATTATGTTGTCAAAATCTTCATTTTTTATTTCTCGAAGAAATTTGCATCTCCAGGCAACTATGTCACTTCTCTCCATTAAAACTTTACGGTTGCCAAACTTTTTGTATTTAAACCCTAGCCTCTTTAAAACAGTGGCGACAGAAGACTTGCTTCCTGCAAAGAGACCAGACTCAGCAAGAGTTACGTGAAGTTTTTTCACCGTAGGATACTCTTTCCTTGATAAATAGCCGTAAACATGTCTGCGGATGGCATCTTTTTGGAATGCGTCTAGCCCGGTCACTCTTTTTGTTTTAGCTACTTTTTTATTGGGAGTTCTTAGCTTAGTCCCATTCTCTTCATTTCGTTTTTTCTCGTTACACACTTTTACCACCGTGTTCTTGTAAACCTGTAACGCTGCCGCAGTTCTATTTATAACTTGTTCAACTGGTAGTATTGGTCCTTTGTTAATTTTTTCTTGTTGAAAATAATCTCTCACTCTACACACCATCTCCCGAGATTGACTTCTAAGAGGAACTCCTTGCTTCCCGACTTTAGTGTATGGAACACTTTTCGCACGAATACGTGGTCTACCTCGTTTTTTTATAACTGGGGTAGTGTTTTCAGCCATTATACAGACGACAACTGATAAACTAACAACAGTAAAAATACCGGATGACTGTTTATTTAAAAAAAACTCACAATAAAACACCTCGGTCAATAACACTTTACGGAGTCTGTTTGTATTGAAGGTACGAAAATGACGTTGGAAGTGTTGCTGAAACGTGGCAATGCTGTAGCCAGTCTAACCCCTCCCACGCGTAAGGGCTCGATCCTGATTGGACGGACAGCGGCGAGTTCACCCGAGCCACTTCGGCTATATTCGGCAGTGCCCGCTGCCAGTACTCTTTTACTTTTAATTCGACTTTAGTTACTGTATTTTCAAAAAAATATTTAAATTTAATTAAATATAAATTAGTGAAGAAGAAAAACTATATTCAAAAATAATATCCTAAAATGAAATGGTGTCTAGGTAGGAAATATTTCTTATGTTCTGTCCAGTGTCCAGGTGTGAAATAGCATTTTTGGAAAAAAGCTAAAACAAAGGAAGAAATGTGCTTTTGGTGAAATAGTTGGAAATGGATGTGGGAGCCAAGTCTCCAGTGATTAAACATTCAAAAGTCTATAAAATTAACATTCAGATCATATAGAAATATCGATTAGCCTATAAAGAGAAATCAAGAAAGAAGATAAGTATTCAACAAAAACTGGTAGTATCAAATTCAATAGACATTAAAAAATCACCATTAATTTCCAACCACCATCACACACACCATTGTGAATAGACAAAATTCAAGTGATTGTTTCAAACTAAGAACTTATAGCCTAAATTTTTGACTCTCATTATTATCTCATATTATTTAGCCTACATTAGTATAAATTAAGTTAATTAGTCTATCAGAATTTCATACCCGGCACGAACCAACCCGTAGATTAAGATCATTGCTATCAAAATTGTTAGGCCTATCTAAAACTTAGCCCATCTATAAAAACCTAGAGACCAAAATATAATTTAACTGTCATAGCCCCATGAGATTGATGTAATATAAGCTATAGAACCTAAATACATCTTATTATAACTTTATTGGAATTTTATTATCTATTTTAAGTAAATTTATATTTATGAAATCCATTAATAAAGAGGAGTAGGTTGCAATATCAAAATGGAAATTTTTTTGACAAAAGAGATTGGCAGTTAAAAAGAGTGACCATCAGTCAAAGTTTCACTAATTTCCATACGTACTAGATAAATTTAGTAAATAAAACTTACTCGATGCTGGTGGATTGTCAGGATCAATGTCTGAAAATGGAGCAACTTCAACCATGGGGGATCCATCTGCAAAATGAACCTAAACATAAAACATTCAAATAGTCCAAAGTAGAAAGAGGATACTAGGTCTTCGTCAAATTGACCACGTGATAAAAATAAATGGTTCATTAACATCAGGAAGAATGTTTTCAAACATAAAATGTGAGAAAAACATAAAATATTTTATGAATTTGATTCACGGGTCAACACAGAACACACTAAGATAAATAGGAAAAGTTTTTTGTGGCTTAATTTAGACCATGTCTTTTGTGTTCAATTCATGTTGATAGTCTTGTAAATATTTCATCAAGGCAACACTAATTAAACAGGCCGTAATGCTCCTCAGGCATTTTTAGTTTTGTTTTTGTTATCCAAGAAAAGATTAAAACAAGCAGCTGACCACAAACGGCAAACAATACATCATTACCGTCGCCTACTATGATTTCATGCCTGAGTAGTATTACGGCCTGTTTAATTAGTGTTGCCTTGATTTCATGATGAGGATTTTAAACAGGATCAACCTCTTTTAACAGTGTAACGGGGAGACCCTCTTTTAACGTTACAGAGAAACGGGGTTCTACCCTATCGAATGATACAATTTAAGCAGTCCCTGGATTACTTTTATCAGAATTAAGATGAGGACGCAACTGGCTGTTTGGCTGTTTGATTTATGTTTAACAATGATTAATATATTTTTTTTACTTTATTATTGCTTGCATCCTTACTAAACTTAGCCTTCTATTGACATATTATTATTAAGATGCTAGCTGTCATTGTCATTTGCGGACGAAGCAGGTTTTTACATCCCTAGGGCCAAAAATCAGTTGCCCGCACCCTTTCTTGAAACATTAATGCATATTAAATACACAATCAGTATCCATAGCATTGGAAGAATTGTTTTACTGTCACCACTGCCTAGCAACTATTTTTAATTATTTTTGCTGATTCCTCAAATTATTTCTTCACATAACCTTAAGGTTGTAGTTGTGTTAACTATTAGTGTGCATTATTATTGTGGTGAATAGTGGTATAGTGTGGTGAAAAATAGCGTTCGTACCACAGACCGAAATGGTTTAGCAGCTCTGAATCGATTTAAAAACTATCTCGAACCGGCAAAACCTCATTTTCGGCCCTAGGTATGAAATACCTTACCTATACTATTAATTTACTGTGTAATGAAAAGTGAACAAGCAGTAAAATATATTTCATAGAGTACTCAAACTAGGTACAAAATAATTAAACAAATTATCGATCTTCAACTTCTAGTATACGTTACATTAACTACTTCAGCAAATGTTCAGTCCAAATTCAAACTATTTCTATCTTTGAAATCTACTTGCAAATGAGAGTTAGAACAAGTGATTTGCTAACATTTATAAATATTTGTCTACATTTATGAACGATTTAAATAGAATGATTTCAAGTTGGCAAGTACCAACTTAAAATGAATAGAAAATGTTTATTAAAATGAATTTTGTTTACTTTTGTTAAACCTCAGTTTAGAGATTTGTTTGGTGTACTTGGATAAAAAATTAACCAAATCATATTTTAAAATTTTTCAGGTAAATTTAGCAAAAGTTTAATCAGCAAACGAAGAATATTGTCTACAAGAAAGTTGCAAGTTTAATTGTTAATTGCAAATGTGCCACTACGGTTTGACCTCTATAACGGAAAAATGTCACAGTCTGACTAGTGCCAAGTTTGGAAAAGGTCAACAACCGAGTTTCTACAAAACAGGGATTATAACTTGTTATTTAATCACAAGCAGTGGAACAATAAGTTAACTATGTTGTAGAATACGTACTCATTGCACTTGAGATATTACAATTTGAATTATCTGAAGTCTTTGATCCCTTTTCTACATTCAAAAACTAAAATAATTTTATTTCCATTAATTTTTTCCAATTTCTAGATTCAATTTTTTGCTTGACTCTTATATGATTTAAATGGTTTTATGTCCCATAGTGGCCTAAAAATAAAACTTATATTTGAGGGTTTTCTTCTGGAAATTGTACTACGTAAAGCTCACAAACTTATATTAAACACAAATATTTAAACTGAGGTAATTTTCTAAAAATTAAGTAAAAAATAAGAAAATGATAAGTAAATAACATTAAAATACAGACTTTTTGTTTCGATACGTTGATTAAGACTGTCAAGTCAAATAAAATAAACAGAGAAAAGGGATTTGTATCAAAGTAATGGCACTATAAAAAGTAAAAAAAACACAACAATCCTACTTTTATAAAATGCATCCATAAAATATTTATCAAAAAAAATTAATTAAATCTAGAAGTAAAAATCTACTCAAACAAAAAATAATTTCAGTGGTTGTACCTGCACTTTATTACTTTCACACATTTTAAAAACAAAATTCATCAATAAGCATTAAGTTCCAGTTTACATGACATTTAACATTTTGTTTTTAAAAGCCACAGAGTTTATTAAGTAACAACACCATTATCCTGAAAACAAACATAATTGACAAGAGTAAATAAAAATGAGGAGTAAATCAACGATTCTACCCAAGGGAACGGCACAAAACTGAACTCTGTATCATTATCTTACACAAACACTCTAGGTAAACTGTATAGATAAAGGTTATGACATGTCCTACATTAATACTTGCTCTGGGCCTTAGCTATCTTGAGCGTTCAAAAGTGCTCAATTCAAAAGCATGGATAATATGTTGATAATTGATCGTTTTTGGCAGTGTTAAGTTGTCTATTCAAATCAAAATTATACCAAATAGCATTGATTCTCCTCCTTATAGTTAAGAAAACATTTAAACTAAGTAAATCAAATTTATTTTAGGAAAAATAAAAATCCAATAGAATGAATAGCTATTTACCTTATAAGTGTAGTAAGAGCGTTTTTACATCACGCAGGTTGTGCAACAAGCGGAAGCGAGTTGCATAATTCACCTAAGTGATGTAAACACGCTCTTGCGTAAAGTGTAACATACAAGATTTTACCTGACCCGACAATATATTTACGTTACATACAATAGTTACGTACAATATTTTTCATTAACCATTTCACTCATCTTCTAACAGTTTCTTTTACAAACAAAAGCTAGGTTAGGAAAATACTTTAAAGCATAACAATAAAATTCAAGTCCACAGCTAATTTCTAGCATTGAACGTCGTTGGCTCCAGGGAGGTATATTTTTTTAAGTTGAATACTCAATGTTATTTAAATGGGTTTCATTACCTCGCCGAGTGAGTTTATGAAACTTTACTTCACTATTGAAGTAAAGAAGTTGTCTACATCACGCTTGGGATAGGGAAGTTTAACATGGCGGGTTAGGTAAACAAATAAACACCTGTTTTAAGACAATAAACATGCTATAGTAAAAAGTAAATCAAATGATTAGAAATCAGATCTGGGTCTTTGGAAGATGAAAAGCCTCGTTGAATCAGCAAAATAATGTTGTAGTCATATTTATCTTCAGGGCAAGCTATAATTATCTGAGTAAAGAGTTGTTTCAGCAACCACACAGAGTAAAATTGAACTGTGTCTTTAGGATGGTTTGCTGAAGCTCATTAAAAAAAGCAAGTATTTCCAAAAATTTAATAACACCATCATCTTCCAAATACCAAGATTCTGCAGGTTATCTTTACCGTAGTAGCCTACTTCCTAGTTCTAACAAGTAAAAATGTTTATAGGCTGTCACTTAAAAATTCCAATACTTATGATTTACGATATAAGACAATCTTAAAAGAATCTTGAAATCCATTAAAAGTAAAAACAATATTTAATTAAATTTCTTTATTTTTTCTTTATAAAGTGGGGCAACTAGGATGGGAAAATTTGACAGCCCTGGATTGTGTAATGTAATTTGTATTACAGTATGTACAAAAATGGCTGGAATAAAAAAGAATAACCCTCAGACAACTTAACACTTAGGAATCAAATCAAACAAGCCGATAACCATTTAAAACTTACTTTTTTCTTGTATTCATCCAGTCGTACTGTTGGTGTGTCCAAAACTTCAGGTATGAATTTATAAGTGTAGTCATCAAGTCCACCCCAACATGTAAGAGCCTGGTCCGCTTCAACATAATCTTTCAATGTGTTCTTAGACACAAATTTGATTTTCTGGACAGCTTTTGTCGGTAACCAACCCTTTATGATTTTAAAAGTGGCTGAAATCAATAAAAATATAAAATAATATGGATACAAAGAGATTTATGAATATATATTTCCACTGTTGGTTCCATATGAATTAAAACACTACTACTACAGTCTGTTTAGTGTTTTGGTCTTATCATGATCCCTTACTTTCCCTCTATGGTTAAAAATGTTTTGTAAGCTAATCCAACAATCAGGCAGGAGATTGTTACGCTCAATCGTTTTTCATTTATATGAATGTTTTGTGTTAAGTTCAAAACTGGTTCCACTTTCCCACTTGTGTTCCCAAAGCTACATAGTGGTTTGGAAATCAATGGAGAAGATTTTGTTTTGTTATTTTCGCAATAAACAACAATTACTTTACTATTATACTTTACTGTATCCACAAAACGCAAAGCAATGAGTTCTTGTTCATTATCATTCACAACAATGACTCCTTTGTATACCGTACCACTTTTTTAGATAGATCGTACGAAAACACATAGGAGGTTCAACAAACCCTGTCATATATTAAATTCACGTGACATCATATATTTAAGTTATCTCTTTTGTACCAATGACAAACAAACCAATAGGCTACCAAGCTCCGAAAATCATATTTAAACATTCAAGTTTTAACATTGAGTTTCGGGTTACACTCAACTTTTATTTTGTATTCACACACTTTATTCGCTTAAATACATATAGTATCTAAATCTTAAGTAGGCCTAGTTACCGTTTAGTATCCAGGGTATTTCAAAGATCAGGATGTAGTTCAAAAAGTCTGGATAGTAATGCTTGAATAAACTTATTAGATATTTGATATACTCCATCTCAATGTTGTTCAGTCCAGTCTCTGCCATGTCGAAGAACACTGTGATTTGTTCACCCCTGTCTTTTCTAAAACAATAGCAAAACACGTCAGCCATTATTTGAATCAAGTGGGTTGGTCTTGCTGGTAAAATTATTTTAAAACATTTGCGTTAAATAGCTTGTTGTTGGCGTTACATTCCAGCCCGCTCCAGGTTTTATTCTCATGAGGTTGATAACTGGAGTCATGAAGGGGCTAGCATTCTTTTAAGGAAGATAGGTAGGTACACTGAGTGTCCATGTTCAAAATGTGTCATTCGAGAGAGAGCCTATTAGAACCAATGTGCAAGAGATGTTTACATTGGATACAACATGTACAATGTTGGAACAATATAGTAGCCATCCAACACAGTGATACAATTTCGTACACACCCTGTAGAATAGGTCTACCTTCTTTTTCATGGGACCCAATGACAGCTTTTATTTTGCAAAACAGTAATTATTGAGCTAAGGGCCAACTCAGTTATAAAACTGGTCCACAGCTAAAGGATAGAGCACAAAAATATAAGGTTAAAAACTAGATCTTATATTAATACACTTACGTGTTAATACTACTTACCTTTCAGCTCTTTCAAACCAGTAAATGACCATTCGTTTTAGCTCCTCAAAGTCTTTTGTGCCTTTTACATGTTTTTTGCACTTCAGTATGAGCAAACTTTTCCCATCTTTATCTCGATTCTTCAGAAATAAACTTCCCTCTTCAAGATATTCCTTGTTCACATTGTTTTCATTTATGTCTGAAAAATAAAGAGTAAGTTACAGAATTGATAATAATTACACTAATCTTAAATACAGGTGACAAAACCACCCACGGCCACACGGTTTTAGTGTGTACAAAACTATAGGGAACGGTTTTAAGGGTTGTGTTAACTTCTATATGTTATTTTTATGGCAGTTTTCTAATATCTTTGGCAAAATTTGTCACATTTATTTTGTAAATTACTGAACAATAAAAAATTATAATAAGATCAATACTAATAAAAATACAAAAAATCAAATTGCATCTTCACAGCCTGTCCTCATTGTGACTAGCCTGATACCTGATGCAAAATTGTGATTTTTCCGCTGTTTATTAGGGTATTTTATCTTTAAACTTTTTTTGTTTTATTGGAAATTGTAAATGCAAAAAAATAAGTGTTCTTGGAATTTTCTCATAAAATCCGCCATTGGTGTTTTTGGACTGGGACGGGTGGCGTCGTCCTGTAATCCAGCTACTAGGAGGTCACGAATTGTGGATAATTATAGGGATGCACTGTGGATGCGATGCTCCCTGGTGTGGATTAACGTCCGCACCAGTGAGTACTACGACTATCCGCAGTACTATTCTAATAATTAGACCCATTCGTTAATTACGAGGAAAAAATGTGGTTCGGATTCCACAATAAACTGTAGGTCCCTTAGTTGCCATTAGCTGTACCTATGGGCTATTAATTAACAGCTGTGTTTAAGGAACATGTCAGCCTTAGTCACTAACAAGACTACAAGATCGTATAATACTCATCCTACACTCATCCTTCACTCATATTTGGGTTAAAATACGCACATAGTGGCGTCCCCATCTTAAATAATTGATAATTGATAATTGATTGAATTTGAAATGCCATTTGTGTAATTAAATCATAATGACGGCTGAACAAATTGAAGCCAAACTTACCAGGGATATTTTGACAAACAGTGAGCTTGTATTTAACAAACAAATTTCAATTTTATAATGCCTGTACAATTTAATACCCCCGCTGCAGCAAACCTGCAGACTAAGCAAATTTCCATTTGCCTGATTGGATTTACACTAAAATGCCTCCTGAAAAATATCACATTTATTCCCTATTTAAATAGAATTAGTTTAATGAGTACTTGGGTTTGCTGCAACAGGGAGGGTAAAAAGGTGTTTTTTGTTGTAAAATGTAAATAGTTTGGTAAGAAATGAATGTATTTTACATATTCAATTCTATCAAAATATGTTCATAAGCAAGCAAACTACAACAGTTGACTTATTCTCCATAAGAATAACAGGGGAATTTTAAATTTACAGTTTTTAGGAATTTTCTCCGTAACCATTAGGCGCACAACAACGCTTCAATATACTAAATTATTTGTTTTTTTAAGCTCTACAAAATGGTTTGGAAAGAAATTGTGAAATTTTGTGTTTTTAGGGTAAAAAATGGGAAAACCTATTTTTACCCCATAAACCCCCGTTCCCATAGTCCGATCATGCTGGTTCGCGAACTCGTTTGAATAAATGTAGGTTTACACGTTTATACCAAATTTCATCAAAATCGGATCATTTTTGCTCGAGTTATCGTGCTAACGGACACATTATATATATATAAATATATTTTTTCTTCTTTTTTTTCTTTAAAAAAAAGAGGTTGGCGGCCTCTTTTAACCTTGCATTTGCCCGTCCACATAGACTAAGCGCCCGTGCGTGGATCGTTTACAGCAAAGCAAGGAGTGAGCCGGTACAGTACAAAGGTGAACTGTAAACTGATAAAATGTTATCGGCAGTGACCAGGATCCGAACCCACGACACTACTGCCTTGGGCCCGAAGTCCACGACGCTACCGACTAAGCCGACTCACTCAATATATATATATATATATGAATTTGAACGGATGGTGTTTTTGGCCTCTAGGGACCTCAAAACGAACAAGTAAATCGGTCCCTGGTCCAGGTCTTACCATGAGTACTACGGTAATAGCTTATTCCTTATATGGGAAATTCGCTAAAACTAACAAAACTTTTCCATTTTCAACATTAGCCTTATGAGTTTCTATGATGGTTACGAGATAAAAACGTAGGTGTAAAAAAGAATCATAGCATACATACTTCTTAAGTTATATGAACTGAATTGAATAACTATCATTTAACCTACCATAATATCATTTTAAACCTCATAATACAAACTGTAAATAGATTCATGTTTGACTGAGGACTCAAAAACCAAGATTTGCATTATACATCTTGGATATTTATTTAAATTAAATCAAATTTGCTTATAGCCTACAAGGATCTATTTAACTTACCATTCACTTTGTTCTCTCTCCTCCAATCACAAGTTTCCCAAAGCATAGTAAGAGCATCTTTCATGTCCATGTCGTGATGGACGAGAAATCTCTTGAGCCAGTGGTCCGAGTTGCTAACTCGTGCTAGGTCAGCTGGATGGAAATATGCTAAAAAATGCAGACGGTAAAAATTCATATTATCTTCAACTTAAGGTGTTGTTTTACAGACATAGACATCGTAATACTATGGTTTTGCATTTCTCTAACAATAGGTAGGTATGTTATTTGATAAAGAATCATTATTTGTTTGGATCTAAAAAATATAAATACCCTAATTAAAATTTTAATAACACTTCAATTTCAACAATTTTCAGGGAGAACCCCTGTAAATCTTTCTTTTTAGCACCCTAAGACCATTAAATGTAAGAATCTGATTGAATTAACAGGCAGCTCCCTAACTCTTGTTATATATGTTAATATAAATGTTAAAAGTATTGTATGGTTCCATATATCCTAATTGTAAAAAGATACCTATTTGGCTACAGTTCCCAAAAGAATATGAAACATATATTATCGGATTAAATGGGCCATTCTCCAGATAAGGACAGAAACACTGTCACCTGCATATAAAAAATAATAACGATTTTTTAATCATTTAAAGTGTAAAATTATTATTTACCTAGCATCAATATTTACCTATTTGTCAAGTCCATATATGTTAACATTTCAAATAATTTTCCAAAAATATCTGTCCACGGAATGTGACAAGTCACTTCTGTGGACAGTGACCATTTATAGTTTTGGCTAGTTTATATTTCAAATTTACTCTAGGCCTAATATTTTATTTAAAATATTGAGAGCTGTAATTATAAACTATAGTAGTCAGGAACTATAATCCCTACAACTTTTATCTTCTTTTATTAAATCATATTACAAAATAATAAAATGATACCGGTACTCTGTCTCCATTGTGAGCAACCACTTCTGTGGACATAACTAAGAAGTTCTATTTATTGCCACCAGGCAGCTAACGGTGACATTATCGGTAATATGCTATTTTTCCGTAAAACGGCCAGCAATACTTTTTATAAGGTGAGCGCACTACTTATTGCTGACTTTCACGTCCCCCCTTTTCTTCACTAACTTACTCCCCAGGTTACATGATATTGATACTGTCGTGTCCGTTTAAGTGTCCTCTATCTGGTGACATTATCAATATGTTACAATAAGTAGTGTGCGCGCCTTCTAAAATCTATTGCTGGTCGTATTTTTCCGCAAAACGGCCAGCAATAACTTAGATTTTAGAAGGCGCGCATACTACTTAAGTTAACTTATTGCTGAGTTACATTATTGCCAGGTTCACACCACTTGTTTTTGTACCGTTTTAATTAGCCTAAGTTAACTAAATATTGCCTAAGTTAACTTAGCCAATATTGAAATATCTCAAGATCTCAGCCTAATAATCAAAAAAGCTAACTTATAGGCCTAACTTAACTTACAACTTTGAAAGCTTAAGTTTAGGCCTAAAATAGTAAAATGATTAGGCTATATTATGAGGTGTGGTAATGCTAAAAAACCAATAGGCATAGCCTATGCCAAGTGTTTAGCCAAAGTCTTAAATATTAATCAGCGTGCGATTAAATATTAACTTAGTCCTCTTGGTGCTTAACTTAGCCTACTAGGATTTCTATCACAAAAAGTAACCTAGGTCTACATTAAATCAATGTAGGCCTAAGGCTGCACTTTACTTGACGTCCTACACTCATTCGAATGAAAATATCGATCGATATATCGATTAATCGATTGCTTCATTCGATATATCGTTTGGTTAGTTAGGTAAGGTTAACCTAACAAAACTAACCAAACGATATATCGAATGAAACAATCGAATGAAAATATCGAATCGAAAAAACAATTGAATGAGTGTAGGACGTCAAGTAAAGTGCAGCCCAATGTAATTGTACAAACCTTTAGTATTACCGTACTCATTTTCTAGCTTCTCAAAAAATTTACTCCTGAGCTCCTGAATTTCATAAGAACTTGGTTCCATAATGTTCAAAACTTCAAAATGTAATTAATAGTGGGCCTAAAAAGTCTTGTTTTGCATGGATATAATATTCCCGTTACTTTAGATTTGCAAAATTATGACTAAAACCCTTTGACGTTTCATTCGTTTGAAAGTTTATTGACCCATTTGGATACTTAGATCTAAGATCTAACATAAATCAAATCATAAATCACAATCACAACACAATACTGTCTGTCCAGGTTGTCTTGTTGGACGAAAAAAATTGACATAAACTCTTATTAGCTTACAATTAATTAATACTGATTACTAATCGACGCCAAGCCAAAGATGAAAGAAAATGAAAAACAGACGCACACTGCACAGCAAGCTACACAAACACAACACAACAGTTGTATAGTAGCAGAAGATATCTAGAATAGTTAGTTAGTACTACTGTTAGTAAGGCACCAGCTGATTCTTCTTGTCAGCTGACTCGTTTCCTGCAGTCGAAGTCGTCAAAGTTCCAACCATTGAGTATATACGTACCGCTACATTTATGCATCTTCTATATAATTAATACGCTACATGAAACTTTGTCGGTTGAACTCCTCCGCCATTTCTTAACCGATTTTATCCATTGACGTCTCATTGGAAAGAGCGTGTCACGTAGATTTGCAAACTGGCCTTACATTTTTGAAAAAGCGCTTCGGGCTATGCCCCAGTGGCTTTGAAAGTTCCCATGTTATCCTTATGGAGAACATAATTGTTTAAATTTTGATCAGCTGTTGTTATTTATTTTTCAATTCAACAAAACGCATTGACTACATTTATTTACTATTTGAGTTTGTGTACACATAACCCCCAAGACGGATCGTGTTAGTATGGTTGTATCTTAAATTTGTGTATTTATCGTTGTTTTGTGTCACTATGACGGATCGCGTTAGCATGATCGAAACTTACATTTGTGCATTTATCGTTGTTTTGTGTAGCTATAATTTGTTTATTTGTTGTTTTTTTTCTTTTAAATGCCTCTGACGCGACGACAACGAAACATAGACAGGAGGCGTAGTCGTGATAACGACCGCAGCTACAGGAGGCTTAACTCATCACAGTCAGCACCTGACCCTGGACAATCTCAAGTATTAGGTTACAAATGCGCCCTAACACTACCCCAAAACGACTTTTCGTTCCCCATTGGCCCTCTATCAATGACCTGTGTTGCCTGTACAGCGAGGCATTTTGAGAAGGAGAAAACCGGCCGGAATGCTTTAGGTTTATCAATTACAAAGATAAACATGGTCTGAGTTACACACCGGTAATCTTTGAGTTGACTCTTTTCAACTCATTGTAAATATGACTGTTATTCGTTTTGAAATAACTCCTGTAATACTTTGCAATTGCTCGAATTCGAGCAACATGTACACTAGTGTATAATAATGTAGAAGTACGTGTATACTCAATGGTTCTGATAAATCATCCCCGTTTCCTGCAAATATCATTTTATATACTGTATTATATAATTTGCTGTACATTCCTTTGAAAACAATCATGGTTAAATTTTAAAAAAAATATGGTACTTACGTATTATACGGAGGCCACCCTTATACAGCTCGCTGTGGCGGTTAGGTTAGGTTGGGTTATCATAAGTTTTTATGACTCATCTCGTATAGTTCGATTCATAACGAAACTAGGAAAGTTCTACAAACATATTTATGATAACCCAACTTAACCCAACCGCCGCAGCGCGCTGTAAAATAAGTGGCCTCCGTATAATACGTAAGTACCAAAAATATATATATCGACTATCAAGCTCTGAAAATAAAACAACACACCTTTTAGGCCTATCACTTAAACGTAACTGGTATCTACAATCATTGCTATAACGTATTCTACGATAATCAATGGACTGCAAGGTTTTAACCAGTCTGCTTCTCCAATTACCTCAGTACAGTAGAGGAAGGCATACCTCACAATGTAAAGTCATTTTGGTCACATATGTGAAAAACCTAAAGAGCTCTCCTACTTTTCCCTCAAGATGGTCTTCGAATCAGCAAACGCTACCGAAGCTGACGGAAAATGTAATCTCTTTGTATAGTATTTTTCATCGGTGTTTATGGTGACATGGACGTCAACGTGCCTATCTTCGACTTTGGTCTGGACCATATACCATCAATGGCTGCATTTTTTCGGCGATTGATGTCCAAAAGAATTAGGGTCTTGACACTAACAAGAGGGCTGGACCTGATGGGATTCCACCCGCAATTCTTCAACATTGTGCCCAAGTCCCTGCCCCATTCCCACACCTTACAATCTACTTTAAAAAACTTCTTGATGAGGATGAGGGAATTTTTCCTTCCACGCTAAAGCAAAGTTATGTTGTGCAGGTTGTGCCCATGTTCAAGTCTGGTAGTATCAACGATGTGAGTTACAGGCCAATTGCCATTCAACCATGCTTAGCTAAAGTACCGGTATATGAAAGTCTTGTCCTGGATTATTATTTACTCTTCAAACTGAACAGTTTTATCGTCCCTGAACAAAAAAACATGGTTTTCTACGCGGTCGTTTGTCCTCTACAAACCTCCTAGAGTCTTTCAAAATCACATTATGTCAGCATTTAGTTTTCCCAAGTAGACTGCATATATCTTGACTTCAGCAAAGCCTTTGATACATCACCTACTTTTTAGCAAAGTTGGAAGGCTACGAAATATGTGGATCTCTACTGCTGTGGCTAAGAATTTATTTGAGTGATCGAGAACTCATTGTTAAGTGTGATGGAGGCTTCTCTTATCTGTTCCCTGTTCCGTCAGGGGTGCCTCAGGGGGGTCTCACCTGGGTCCTCTGCTGTTTGATATTTTCATAAATGACATAAGCAAGGCAATATCATCCAATTTTCTTCTTTTTGCTGATGATATCAATTGTATTTGCGAAGGTAACATGCTCAGCAGACTCCCAGGACCTACTCAACCATAACATTGAACACGAAAAAAGTATACATTTTTTGGGTCTGACAGTAGATCAAAATCTGAATTGGGACGAACATGTTCATAAAATGTTGGTCAAAATTAATTAAGGAATTCACGCATTATCTAAAATGTCTTATTACTGTGATCTGAAAACATTAAACAATATTTATTTTGCCCATGTTCACTCTCATATATTGTTCTGAGCGCTGTATGGTTCAACAAAAAAGTTAAATTTGGAAAAAAATATTAAAACAGCAAAAACGAACAATCATGATCATGCTTAAGATAGAGCATAGATAAAACATACTCCCGTTAGAGTATGATGCATCAGCAAAAGAACATTTCAAAAATCTAAATAATTTAACTGTTTACGGGCAATATATTATTGAAACTGAAGCTACTCTCATTGCAAAGAATTGTACAACTATCAATTTTAAGTCCCCAGCTCATTCGTATAATACTAGAAAGAGAAATGAGGTTATCCTGCCACATAGATTAAAGGTTTTTGAAAAGAAACCAACCTACATAGGATATACTTTTCTTAAATATATTCCAGAAAACATAAGAAGAGAAAATAATTTAAATAAGTTCAGGAAATTGCTGAAAGAATATTTGATACAACTGGCCCCTTACTCCATAGAAGAATTTTCCACTTCCCAGATATAACCTACTGTAGATATAAATACTTTTGTTATTACTTTTCATTTTTGCTTGGAAAATTGTAAATAGTAGATTTTAATTAGATTTAGTATTGTATTATATATGACGCTATTTACTGTACAAACTATGTACAAAAAAATGAATAAAGAACTATGACTATGACTCCAGTCATTTCTGGATAAAATCAGTAAATGGTGTGATGAAATTGTAGTGCACCCCCTTACAACTAAGTTACAGCACAAATGGTGCCATTCTGAAAGTGGTTGATGGATTCAGAGATTTGGGCGTCATAACTACCCCTACCCTCAGTCCCTATTTGAGCATATCAACCAAATAGCAAAAAGAGCTTCGGCATCACTTCTTAGCTTAATTTTTCAATCAACAAAGGACTTTAAGAACACTCTCACACTTAAATTTCTTTACAAGACTTTGGTACGCCCCGTGTCAGTCTTTGCACATCAACATGCTTGATAAGATACAAAGAAGATTTATTAGACTGATTGGTCTCCGACTGGAGTACCACTTTCAGGATGTCCCTAATATCACACTGGAGAAATACTATGATTTGCAACAACTCAGTGTGAGAAGATGTTACGACTTGCAGTTTCTCTTCAAACTCGTGAATGCGATGATCTCATCGACTGCACATATTTGCTGAATAGTATAGAATTCTCTGTCCCTAGAAGAACCAGATCCAAAACTTTATTCGCTAGAGGGTTCCAAGCAAGAAACTACTCCAACCATCAAGGGGTGTCCAGGTTGCTGAGGGCGGGTGGAGAGGCTTCGACTTACATTGACTTCTTCGGGCTTTCTTCTTCCTCATTCAAGAGGGACGCTTCAAGATATTTGATATTTACTCGAGGGGACATCTTAAAAGCATTTCCCTGCCTTCCTATGGGGACGTGTGATGTGTAGTGCTTGTTTGAGAGGTGCCTTTAAAGGGCACAACCTTAGTTCTGTTTGTTTTGAGGCTGGTGTTACCTCAGTGAAGTGCGCTGCAAGCTATATAGGTGTGGTACCTTTAAAGGGCCACACATGAAAGTTGGTGCTTTTTAGCATGGTGTATGGTGTTGACACAGTGTCCTTTCCATGTCCACACACACACACTCCCACAAATTGCTGATAATACTTTTGTAATCTTTTGGTGTCTCTTATTATTATTTTACACAGTTTATAGTTGTTATCATAGTCTATTTTTGTTGGTCTTATTTTATTGTTGTAAAGTTACCACCATTACTGCTTGTTACTTGTTTTTTGTTACCTACCATTATTAATAGCCAGTCTACTTTGTTGTTATTTATTGTAGTTCTTAGGTCCCATTCTATATTTATTGTCAGTTCATTATTTATTATTATTGAATGATTTCTTAATTGTTACTATCGTGAGAACAGTTTATTTCATAACACCTGTTAACCCTTTACTTCCCGGAATTATGAAATTTAATAACAAAAAATTTTATTGTGAATTTTCTTTTTTTTTTGTATTTTAAGGCTGAAAATGTGTTTTTTTTTTCAAATTTCCCTAATAGAATTAAAAGTTAGAAATATGTATCCATATGGATACCATGGAAACCTAAAGTACCATTGTTCGCTAATTTTCATACGTTAATAATTTTAATTTTTCTTTGACACTCCCATAGTGTCCATATGGATACAAGTTTCTTAAAAGTTTTATCAAATTGAAAAATAAGTTACTTGTTCATCAATTAAAACAAATTAATTTAGAATGAGTACAAATAGATTTATTATGTAAAAAACTTTACTACAATA